AAGTCAAAGTCACATCCTCGACTTTGCACTGTGAACTCACCGTAGGTGCATTATAAATCATTGTAGGTGCAGCGGTCAAAACCATCAGATAAGACATATGATACTTCCACGTTCTATCTAAACTGCTCAAAAAATTTCTCGTCAGTCCCACACAAACTTGCGCCTGTCATTCGTCGTACTAAAACCAACCATACGGTTTGTCTTCCTAGCTACCCTGAGTCAGGTTTCGTTGTCCTATCGGAGGTGAGCATGTAACTGCACACGAGCCTGCAGTGCAATAGCATCCAGGACCTGTCGCAAAAAGTTTCAAGAAGAAGCCCCCCACCCCGAGGTTCCACGAAGTATCTACAGATCTCTGTCCGAAGGTCGGAGCCTATAACCTCGATGACAAGAGTTTGGCAGTACTGGTACGCCAAAGGGCACGACCTCGCAAAAATCACGCTACTTGACGTACTTATTCGCTTCCTCGGTTTCGTCAACTCACAGACACCCTATAAAATATCGTCGGAGTTGGCAACTTTCACAACGTGGAATCGCGATTGCCCTACGTAAATCAGAAAAGCTTCGCTACGTTGGCATGCCAAAGCTGGTCTTTTGAAATAATGACGTCGGGGGGTTTCAAACATGACGAGATACTGGCCTCTAGACTGACAATGGCGAGAACGCCGTTCAAGTTGTCACCGTTTTGTGAAACTTCGCGGAGTTCCCCGCTAGCCCTGAAATTAGATGCAAGACCTAAGTATGCATGAAACTTCGAGTCTCATCAGCTCGGGTTCATAGAAGACAATCGATGGCGTTATTTGAAACCTTCTGACGGTGGAATCGTTCCATCTTTCTCGATACGTGTTCATTGATGGCATGTCAAAGTCCCGGAAAATAGTACCAATTATGTCATTTGAGTTCAACTGTTCCAGTTGTTTCGGAAATCTTGCAGTTAGGGGCAAAGGGACAGATGAGTGGTGGTAAAAAATACCAAGTTGAAGCTGAGCGCTCAGAACTGAACCACTCAAACATTTCAACAGTGACAGTTGACGCTCCAAAGTTAATTACCATCAGATGATATTGGCTCGTGGGTCGGCTTGGAGAGGAGACACCAGTAGCCGGGATGCGGGTTCAACGAACAATCTGACCCCCAAAAAAAACCAATCTGACTAGTAAACCGGGTGACGAGTTTCAATTGCTCATTTATCGGTGGCGTTAGATACTTGTGTAGTGTCATCGGTAGAGATCAAGCTTGGGTGACTGTACTTCGGTATGCCCCTCCAGAGGTACCGACGAATAAACGACGAGCAGTCAAGTGGTTCGTCCTGTACATCAATCACGTTTTAGACTTGGATATCGGCTCGAAATAAATGGAAGCTACGCGCTCTATTTTCCCACAAACCCAATGTTTGGTTTGAGATATTCTAGACCAAGCCAGCAGCATAAAACTTTAGCCACATATACATATGCACCCAAAGAACAGCGCAAATGACTAAGTATTGAACAGAGTACTTACTAGTACTTACTCTGCGAGCCGACTAAGCCCACTTGCAGTGGACCCCTTAAAGTTGGTATTCCCTGGTTGGGGGATAGCTGCACATAGGAATGTGTCGTGCGCATGAACCATATGGCGAATAACACGCTTAATGTGATAGGCATCCACGATAGGACCTGCCAGGGATCAAGTTTGAAGTTTCAGCAGTGGATCCACGATATTGATTGGCAGTTCCTACAGGCCATGAGGCCTTGAGGAGGCTGACGCCACTGAATGTTGAACACCTCGTGAGATTGCAGACGTCGAGAGTCGCCGAGCTTGTGCACGGAACTGTTTCTGGACAATGCCATGAGCCATGCCGAAACAACTGGTCAAGATGGCAGATCATTATGACAGTGGCGGCATTGGTGTGAAAAGAATCCTGAAGGCACAAATTGATGTGATTGATTTGATGGCTTCCAAATCGAGACAAGTGACTGTGCATAAGTCATTAGAGCAGGATTAAGTTAATAAAACAACGACTGACACCTTTATTCTCGAGTTGAGTACAAGATCTGCCCATTGAGCAGTGACGCCGTAGCATCGGAAATGTCCCTCGTGAGACTCTACAGGTCATATGCAGACGGCTGGTAATGTAAACTTTGTTCAAGACAGTTTCTCGGATATCGTCTATAAGAGGGTTATGCAGATTACGATCCATAATGGAAGCTGACCTTCTTATATGTAGTAAACACGACGGTGGCAGGAATTTGACGAGGAAGTTCTTACCTACCAATACAGAGAGAGCGATGACAATCGATCGTATGTGTCATTTCCTAGCTATCTTGTCACACCTCCTCCGTGCCCGTGTCAAAACAGCCATTCATTTGTCGCGTTAGGCTGCGATCATTGGGTGCTCAATGGACTCCGTACCGACATTTGGCGACATTTCGGACTATTTCAACGTCATTTTCTTCGCCCAACTCGCATTATCACGGAGAAAAAAACTATTGTCCCGTTTCGAGAGTGTTCGGTGTCGATGCTAGCCTCGTCTCGCATTGTACACCGGTTAATATGAAAGTCGGTGGGTTATCAAGCTAACAAATGTCGTATTGAACTGCAAAAGTATGATTGATCAGCGAAGAGTTGACGACACCAGCCCGTCAACAGCCTACCTAGGTCGAACTTTATCTGTGCCAGTATACCAAATTTAGATTGTCGCCCGGTCCGAAAGTTCGATCTTGCATGGTAATTACCAGGATTGTTCGAGAGTTGGAAGCCATTACAACAATGTCGGGAGTGAAGTTGACCGGTAGGGTAGGGTGTTGGGAAGACCTATTCACAAGGACTGCAACAGGTGCGGAGGGACACTAGGTTTACGTCGAGGACAAGGAGAAGATAAGGGTGCAGGAGGACACAAATGATGCTTGGCATGGTGTTAAAGTATTAGCTTTAATAAGCATGGAACGTACATTGATTGCTGATTCCTTGCGAATGAATATCACGCACGGATTGCCTGAAGGTGTACTGCGACTGAGGCGAGAATCAACCGTTTTATTGCGATTGGTTAATTTGTTCAACGACAGTTCTTGCCTTGACTCTGGCCTGGCTCTATCATAGTTGATCAGTTCCACCATGACATGAATGCAGTATCTCGCCTTGATGCCATCCACAAACCAAAGCGACCGGCGGAGAGCAATTCTATAAGTAACACTCCTGCTCGTATTTCAGCATGCGAGGGAAACAAACACACAGGCTGGAGAGGACGTGATACCTGTGTGTTGTGTCAAATTTGACTGAGTCAACTTTTGGCCCCACGGAAGGCAAATCTTCGAACAGTGAGATTCAATTGACCTCTGAAGGTGGAAATTGTATGCGCAGTGAATTACAAAAGGACTCCCCAATGTTCCAAGAGACATCTTAGATCTGACTCGGAAGTCGAAGTAGTACTAGTGTTGCTGCAGTGGAAGCAAGTGCTCTACGTAGGGTGGGAATTATGATTCCGTGGTAAATTATTGCCGGATGTAGTACACGAACCAACATGATCAACCCACCGTTGAAGGTACTAGCATGACTCGGATGAAATCGACAATGAAATCGACGGGAGTCAATATCACTGCACCTGTTGTCTTAGTCTCGTCACCAGTTGCCTTACCATCCCCGAAGATAGTAGTGTGGAACAATAACTACCTTGCCCTGTGCATACCACCCGTGAGTGCTCCGAGCTTGCACGTCATTCAAGGCGGTCCAGTGGCCATAGATTAACTTATCATCATCTACTCATTGAATTCGAAATAAGTCATTCCTTGGTTTCTTCCTATCGATCATTTGATAGCACTCTTCAAAGTGGGCGCTTTGCGTACCATCAGGAAAAATAGCACGGCGATTGAAAGGTCTACACGTCAGTCCATCCGCACAAGTACGCCTTCTGACCTAGTCTTGATCCAGTTTATCACACGTCACTTGTTCCGCTCCGTGCGTGTAAGAACAGGCAAGAATCCATACTTGACAACTGGTGCATCAGCTTACAGCCGATTTCACATCCAGAAAAGTTAACCTGGATGAGCGGCGGTTACCCTGAAGCTCCGTATCCATGGACATCAGGTCACATGCACATCCCAATCTCCTGGCACTTACCTGATATGAGGAATTGATAGGCTGCACAAGCCTGATCGGCGGTGAACCATGTATAGGGTAGATGTGGAACGCCCTGCGGGGGCCTTGCCGTCAGCATCCGAAAACAAACAGTGAGTTATTTATTGTGACGACAGAGCAGGGCAATCGTCCTTCTAAATTCTAACACTAACTTTTCATTAAACGTTTGAATGAATTCGCCGTGCCCCGACTTCCCCGTTATCACTGGAGCAAAGTTCTTGCTCTCCTACAGAATTCACATCTGGTTATCTTGCTCGCCCCCATCAGCATGAGGCTGGAGGTATGGAAATTAGATGGAGACGTAGTTGCGTTTATCGGCGACTATTCAAAGCACCACGACGCATCGATTGTCAGCCTAACTGGACCCTACCTGTCAAACGTAAGTGATTTACGATTCAAGTTTGGTCCGGTGATTCTTGAAACATCCTATTCGCTTAGGTTCTGTAAGTCGTGAGAGTGGTATGTAGTCTTGATTGTGAATTTTAGAATTTGACACTTTTCCGTCCTCCACGGACGGCTGTTAGAAGACACTCTGTTTTGACACATAAAACGGATGTTTTATTGCTTCCACTGCGAGGGAAAGTGTCTATGAGAAAGGAAATGCGAACATGATGTACACTGCTGAACAGTAGTAACTTGGTATCTTTGATCGGCACAAATCGATCCTGGACAGAGCCCAGAGGACAAGGAAACCAGGATCGCGAGAAAGTACAGAGTAGGGAGCGTCTTCCGTCTAGGCCAACGCTACTGTGAACCAGGCAGCGAAAAGGCTGCAACACATGAGTAGGATAGGTCATAACACTTTTAGAAATATGGGCAGAATTAAAAAGGGACAGAATGTTGAGGGGTGTTGATAATCGAAGAGCGAGAGTTGATACGATGCGATGCGATGCGATGAAGCCAAAAGAGCGTGGCTGAAATCCAGTTCTATATGAAAACGGACATCAGTTCAAAGTTCGTTATAACATGTGGTGGTGAAAGTACTCACCAAGAATACAGTGAGAGAGAAAAAAATATGCAATGATCGTGACTCGTGAGGTTCTTCAGCGGTCGTATACGGGCACCGACCCGCTGAGATTCAATACCCAGTCCCCTCCCGACTTCGGCTGCGTCAGACCACGGAAGAGGGTCTCATGCAGAAGCATATCTACGCGCTTCCAGCCTTTGCGTTGCTCGACGATAGGAAGCCCTGCCGCTAGCTTGCAGCGAAGCCTGAACGCCTCTTCGTATACCGCACGGCGGTGGTGCGGAATCAAGCTTTTCTCATGAGGTGTGAGCGGTGCGTCGAAAGCTGCATATATCGCCTCAAAGACATCACGGACACGAATGCCTTTATCACGCTTCACGTCGATGTCCCACTCGAATGGACCTCGCTGGAAGTTGATGGTCATCTTGACCAACTTTTCATCTGCAGCCGACTTGTTAAAGTCGGCATCAGACAAGCTTGTTCGTTGAACACCATAAGACGAGTTCTGCCTGAACTCGATGTCGTGAGTTGGAAAAGCAACATCGAAGTGAAGAAATCGCTTTGATCGCTTTGGATGGTAGGGGAGCAGCTTCCAGTGAAGGTTTAGTGCGGGACCCTTCATGGGACCTTTATCGGGTAAAAGATCAGATAAGGTACGTAATGGTGAAAAGAGAGAATAAGCTGGACCAAGGACTCACCCAAGTGTGCATGTTGCGGAGGGGAGTTGGGCACTGTGTAGACGTTATTCCGCGAACCCTTCTTGGCGGCCGCAACTTCTCCGTCGCTTTCATATGGGTCACGAGGAGGGGAAGTCTTTCCCTTCAGGATAGACTTGAGGGGAAGTGGTGTTGAAGGCTTGGGCGTGTGCGCCCGTGAAATTGAGCCTGAAAGAGAGGGCTTGAGCATCGTGAACGAACGGTGCTCGGCCCTGCTGAAAGAACGAGGGGACGTGAGTGGTGGCGACTGTGGAAGCGCCTTGGGGGGTATCTTTGGAGTGTTGAGATTGTAATTAGGACTCCCTATGTCGTGCTTCGTCTTAAACATGAAGGTCGTTACAGTTGCAAATGGAGGCGAAACTTTTGTAGTAGATTTCAAGATGGGCGAGGGGCGAGAGCTGGAGATCATCATGCAACGTGTTACACCATGTGTACGAACTTTGCCACTGAGTGGATGATGGGGAACTTACCTGAACAGGCCTTTTGCCGAAGAAATGTGCAGAGTAGCCTCTGAAGTCCCACCGGGGGCTCGCGCAGTCAGTCCCTGCGTCTTATATGGACCAAGAAAGACACAAGAAGCTGAAAAGCCACGAGCGGCTTTGCAAGCGGCGAGATATACATTCCATACTACCACGAGGCAGGACAGGGCGTAAATACATCCCAAAATGGTATATACCCAAGAAACTGCTAATGATATACACGAGGCTCCTTAAGGGGCTTAAACAGCATGTTGTCAATCTAGCTGCTTACGCGTGTTGGAATCAAACAGAAGATAAACCACGTCAGCTTCGCTCAACATGTGTTATAGGCACGTCACCATGTTAGCACGCAACACTGGTCCAGAATTACCCAGTGAAAGCATCCCTGCGGCCTGCGTCCTGCGTGCCATCCCAGGTTAAACGCCTTGGCGCCTAATTGCCACAGCAAGATTCCAAGGAAAGCGGGCGGTGCTGGGGCAGTTGCAGTACAGGTTATGAGCTTCGAAGCTGTATAGCTATGGTCTTTGATCGATAATCCTCAATGCCGAGACACATCCGTACAATGCTAGCCCGAGGTAATGCGAGAAGCGCTGGCGCCGGAACTTGGCGCTTTGGAACGTGGACTCCAGAAGAAATTCCAGATTCGCAGCTCCACAACATTTTGGGAAACCGGAACAGGCGGAACTAACTATCGGCCTTGCCCCATGTAGGATTTCTGAAACCTTATGAATGGGCGTGCCATAACATAGCCGACCCATATCACACCCCATGGGCCTTATCAAACCCCTCGTGACTAAGGGAGATTGGATTGACCACAGTGAAACTTCACTAGCAGGATACGGGGCGTAATTGAAATCTCACGTTCTTGTGACACTCGACCAAGACTCATCATTGATGCATGCGTTTTCGTATATGTCATGGACAGAGGGTCAAATTCGGTAACTGTCATAGAACCCAATAATCGCTGAGACCTTGGTGTCATCGCCCATCATTTCGCAGGCAGGAGCAGCCGGGCCGTATGCCTCCTTACAAGAATCGAAGATTAGTTTTGGGTCGTGATGTAACGAGGCAGTTCTGTGAATTACCCTACCTTTCCCGGATGTCATCAGGTGCGGGGAAATCAGAGATACTGAAAGGTCTGGAAACGTAACACCACAGTACATTGTTCGAGACACATTGCAGTGGGATGGCCTCACAGATCATATCAGAGCCTTCTGTCCAAGAATGATAGTGGGCGCTATAAATAGCCCACAGCAAGACCGCATACCCCGTGAGTCGTCACCGAGATGATCGCGACCAAAGGACAACGGCGATTGCACCAATAGAAATGAATAAAAGACATCGAAGAAGTCCCTAGCGGAGAACAGCCCAGCAGCGCCTGAAATTCTTCTGTCGAAATTCTGCCCGGCGACCTCGCATGATTATGTATAGTGTCATCACAAGATTGCACCTCAAGCTGTGCACATACCAAAGTGTGCGTGACGCATTGCATGAACACCCGCAAGTTGGTCATTTGAGTGATACCATCATGTTCAGTCAAACTTCCTGCCAGTGAGATACCTCGGGGCTGCCGAAACTGCTGTCAACACTGAAAAGCCTCCCTCTCTCCGAGTGCCAGCTTCCATTCGGCCGATGTCCATTTTAAGACCGTCGAATCATCTAGAGAATACCCGTAACAGGAGGATTGTCAGAGAACACAGGAAGTTCGGAAAAACTTTATTCAAGCCGCACTGCAGGTTTATCGTAGACTAGTCCACGTGATCGTGGTACAGTTTTCAAGGGGTCCCGGTCAACGTCCCGAAAAGAGGTGCTTTCCCGGCAGTCACGACAAAGTTGTCCCAAAGGTTCCTATTCGGGAGTCCACAATCAGTAAACGCTGAAGCGCCAGTGATAGCCCAAGCATGTCGTTGTTGTATTGGTGTATGATCCACAACTTCACCTACTCTGCGTAGCAGCAGCACGCCAAAATTCTCTCTTGGTTGATACAAACTGCACGATATTAGATTCAGAAGCAGCGAGGTACCGAGGTAACCTGACTGTTAGACAAGGAAGGTCTGTTGTGCTCATGTATCCCATAGCTAACAGCTCTCGAACCTCATTCGATCCGCATCAGCTGTATCGCGCATTGTCTGAGCATTGCAGAGCTCTCGAGTGAGCATCCAATTTCCTTCGTTTTGTATGACTTGAAATCTGACAATATGGACTGCACGATTTAGCGCCCTTCGCGAACTACACGTATCGCTTGAGATCTGATCTTCAATCTTTTGACAGTACATAGAACTTTCGGTTAAGAACAGTGTGTACATTCCACCACAATTGGATTACTGATTCACTAGATTGCAGGTAGTCAATTCTCTCGCCTTTGTCGCCTTTTCTCTGCGTTATGAGAAACAGCGCTGTTCCCACAGTGGTAGCTGACACCAGCAGCGAAGAGAAGATCTTCGAATCCTTAAGTGCGGTTGTTGTCCACCGTGCATTATATGATTGTCCCGAGTGGGGCCCTCGGCATAAACTCGAATGTTTAGATGGCACCTGCACAAAAATTATGGAAGAAATCGAGACAGCTCTGCAGGCAGAAAACAGTACGCTGATTTGGCTCTCTGGCTCTCCTGGGACAGGGAAATCTGCGATTGCCCATACAATCGCTAGTCGCCTCAAAAACACGTCGAAATTGGCTGGCACGTTTTTCTTCAGCCGCCAACATAAAGATATGCCAGGCATGGCCAGCCTTGATTTCTTTGCGCCTACCTTGGCTTACCAAATTTCGAAAAGTAAACACTTGGCAAAAGATGCTGTGATCCAATCAATCAGATCCGACCCTATTATCCTCGATCCAAGGAGGTCGTTTACTGAACAAATCCAAGGACTACTAGTCAAGCCGTTGCAGAATTTGCAGGTTTCATGGGGGCATTTGGAACCAAAGGCGCTTGTAATCGATGCGATTGACGCATGCGAAGAAGGACGCATCTGCGAGCTCATTTCGTGTCTTTCAAACCTCCTCCACCAGCCTCACATCCCACACTTGCACATCGTTATCACTAGTCGTCCTCTTCACGCTATTGATGATGCATTCGAAGTTATTGGCTGCGAGGAGTCGATACATCACATTGCTCTCGATGATGTCGATGTTACTGAAGACCTTCGTCTTCTCTTCAAGCGCGCTCTGGAGAGGAGTTATAGGCATCACGGACTCGAATACCCCGGATTAGAGTCCGATGATCAGACCATCCCCTGTCTCGCTGACAGGGCAAGCGGTCGGTTCAGGGCTGCGTCAATGATGATAAGATTCCTCGAGACCGATGATGACGACGAAGTGCCGTGCAATTTGGATGAAAAAATCGACCTTATGAAGGATCCTGGCGATGCATATCTGGATTCCACCCAAATATTTCGGTTCTACGAGTTCGTCATCAACCTGTCAGAAAATCCAACCCGTGCATACCGGCATCTGTCCACGGTGGTCAATCTCGCCAAACCATTAGCAATCCTGCACTTGCGGAAGCTTCTGGGATCTTCAGAAAGTGATCTATCGTCCGTTCTCGCGTCGTTATCCCCAATAGTCAGCGTCCCTGTTGATGATTCTCGCCCTGTCGAGGTTCTCCACATAGAGTCACTTCGCGAGTTTCTTTCCCGACATCCATCTTCGTCGTGTGCATCTCAGCTCCTTGCACAGTCCAGTCTGCGTACGATGAGAAGTTCATTCCTGCGCCAGTCCGGCCTCAAAGATAAGCTACAACAAATGGTGACACTGACGAAGATACCTATTGAAGCAGGTCCACAATCATATAATGTTCGTGCTCATTTACAAATATATGCTATGCTCACGTTAACATCCGCACAGATTTTAATGGTTTTCCTTAAGTGTTGTTTGGCACAGCCATGCAGCAAGACCATATATGCGGCTACATGGTACCATGAATATGCGCAAGGAACTGGCACTCCTTGCTGCGCTCCGCCCAGCGTCCAGCCCTGTAATATGTCTGAGGACATATCAAAAGCTCGGTCGGCATTGGAGGATTTCCAAGCGAAACCTGAATTTCGCGACTTACACGTGTTCGAACTCCTGTCAACATTACAAACTCTACCAGAAATGTTGATCATCGTGATACTCTTGGCAATTCGTCACGCTCACCCCGCCTCCCATGTTATCGATTTGATAGATGGGTCCGACAATGAGCCGATTATGCCTTTGGCGCTCAAGCACTTTGTACAATACGTACGGGAGAGAAGCGAGCGAATTTTCTCTAGTTCACCAGCCCTCAAGCATGCTTGCCGGCATTGGGGTTGGTATCTCTCTCAAAATTCGATGGCCATGAATGAAGGTCTGCGCACATATCTGCGTGCCTTTTGGCGGGATAAGCTACTGTCGTGGTTTGAAAGGCAGTGGTATTTGGAGGGTTTAGAATCATGCATAACCATACTGAATCTCGCACAGACCATTGATTTTAAATGTGAATAATTCTTTTTATAATCCGTGTACAACGATTATCACTTCTAGTACAAGTACAAAATGATCTAAAAGTCGATGTTAGGAAATATCATTCGAGAGATTCAACGCGGGGGAATGAATCGAAACTGATACATTCAAGGCTGAATAAAGTTGACCAAAGTATTGTAAGACGGCATCGTATACGACTGATATTGCAACGATGTCAAATAACTAGGTGCATAGGGTATCAATTATCATTTCGTCATCGTACAGTGGCAGAGTAAGCAACCGTCGGAGCAACGCCAGAGCTCAAACTAGCAGAAGCCTTTGCATCTCGAGCAGGTTCTGCCACTCAACTATTCCTCCTTGACTATCCTGTCTTTGCCATGCTGTTTCCATGACTTGCAAAGTCTGATCGATGTTGCCGAAGCCATCGCGTTGAGGTTGTAACCGTGCCTTCAGAAACTCGCGTATTATGGGGTCATCCGTAAGACACCCAGCCAGGCATATGGGGAATACCAGACAACGGTCAATATTCGACGCGGGCAGCCGGTTCAACAACTGAACCATGGCAACTATCGACTTCACGATTTCGGACATTCCTGCAACAAAGTCGTGAGCATTGCAAACTCACGTATTAATTTCGACTCGCCTGGGATAGAGTCGCTGAGCACTGTATGTAGGTAGAGGATAGTTGCTTCTTGAAAGATATCAGCCACTATCCTTCGAGTGTCATCCGCAGGAAGGGATGTGCCCACGTATCCAGTAGGTGAATTTTGTACATTGCCATACTTAACAGCCATTGATGCTAATTCAGGATGTAATTGCGTCTGGTCCGCCTCTGCTGGTAGCACTGTCTCTGTTTGGGTACGAAGGTGTCGCTCGATTACGTCCCCTCGCCGAACGAGCTCTCTCATGTTCAAAGAACCTTTACGAAGTTCTTGCATCTTCCAGTATGATAGTGTTGCTATCTCCGCGATACCGAGAAGTACTTCGTCTGGACAACCAGTTAAGCTATCCATACGGAGAGCTGAATCGTCACCGATGCCCTGCTGCGTTAAACCCCAGTAACCCGATCCTCCGTGGAACAATCGCCGGTATAAGGATAGATGCTTTGGCGTCGTTTTCAGGGTTAGGGTCGACATGATATCACACCACTGCGTGCTTTAAGTGAGCTTAGTCTGTGTATAGTGCCGGTAAAGTCACCATTGTCGCTTTCAGTGCCAGTTGCGATGCCTCGTTCATGTTGATCACCATCAAATTGGGGTTGTCGTTCGCCGTTATCCCCGTCCTCACAAGCCATTCGCTCGCAATATCCAACATCGGGCGCCAATCTGTCACTCCACCTGACATGAGCGAGAAGCTCAACATGAGGATGGCTGCATTCGCGTCTGACTCCCTAAGCGTCGTCTGTTTGTTCCTATAGATCTGTTGGTGGGCACTATCATAAAATCGCATTGCCGGTGAGTGCTCCAGGATGGGATTTGGCACCTCGAAACCGTGGGCGATGCGAATCAAACCGAAGTGCAATGATGCTAATGCAGAGATGGCGTTTGCCACTGGGCCCTGCGGGTGTTGCAATACAAGCTATATAATGGTTAGTGACTAAGTATTAATTTTTGTAGGAGAAAACCTTACTGAATATGTTGTATTTGCTACAGAATTGCCAGTAAATGCATACTGCAACTTCCGAATATGCTCGAAATAATAAAATACATGCTCCATCTGTGTCGATGGCACCGAAAGGTCATACAGGTCTTGGGTGGCGGTATTGAATTCAGGATTAAAGTGCATTTCCCCCATGGGCGATGGGCGGAGGGTAAGGGGGTCTGCAGGGTTGATCGAGGATTTCAGAGGAAGATTAATGTTATACGGAGGTGACTTCGATGCCAAACCTAAAGGTGCGGCCGTCAGTCTCCGCAGGCTATTTTTCTCATCACAAAAAACTCACCGAATATGGGTATCACGAATGTGTCACCCAATGAATCGGCGCGCATCGGTATCCCAAAATCGTTGATTCGAGAAGACCCTGAACCACTTGCAGATCCCTGAAATTGTTGCGAAGTTAACACAGATGATGAAGAAGCTGACGTAGAGGATGATGCCACTGCACTGGCTTGCGCTGCCGACACATTGGATTGACCACGGATGAAGCGTGTTAGCTGAGCTCTGATACCAGCATTGTAATCGTCCACAGCTTTATTGTCCTATAGGATAATGAGATGATGGTAAGGAAGACGCGAACTATGCTCACCAATATCCATTTTGGGGGCTCCCATCCCAGACAATCTATACTTAGCCGTTTACAAGTCGAACATGAGTTATCCTCTCGCCGTTCGTCGCATTCCTGTTCAAACACCAGCAGTCAACACGCATGGACGACTTTGTTTAAGTTGAAACGTACCTGGCTCCGCAGGCGACACGTCCTATATATGGATGGTACGTGTTAGTACAGTGGGATGGTCTGAAATATGTGGTGCGCACCAACATCCCCCTCCTCCCCCTGGGAACACTCCGCGAGATTGATTGTCCTGTAGGATGTTGAGAGACAGTGGGGCACAAATTAAAACATGCATGGTAAATCATGGACGGTTTTGTTTCAGTCAAAACGCACCATCCAGTGCAGCCGAAGTGGTTTGAAACGGCTGGGGCGCCTTGAGCTAGTACTGGCGTCATAAGTCGTTTCAGCTGCCTTTTCCGCGGCTGCAGATTTGTGAGAATCGTTCTCTGCAACCTTCCTTTCCACATTCATTTCTGCGATGAGCTCATCAAGCCTCTTCATTTCTGCCTCAAGCTTATCTACTTCTTTCACACCCCACACTGCCAAACTAGCTTTTTCAGCGTCTTCTTCAGCCTTCGTGTCCGCGGCGGTATGTTGCGCATCAGGATCAAAGTGAATAGGTGGATTAGCTGCGAGGCAAAGCTCCCGAACCTCGCACAACGTCCGAAGGCAGGTCTCCAAATCCTGGAGGCACCAGGCTTTCACGAGCCACTGCTGGAGTTTCTGTCTCATGAAGACAGTCACAATGGAACGGAGATCATCATCCCACTCCGCCAAAGAAAGGTGATATGCCCAGTGAGTACACGCATAGTCGAGTGTACCCGAGCCCGCTTTGCACTGATCCTTGAGAGCATGCACATTTGTCACGATTTCAGCCACTGCACCCAGGGTTTCTATGCGAGAGTCATACTCTAGGGTCGATGGGCCCAGAGTTTGGTCACTTCTGGGAGATTCAAATGCCAGAAATATTGGGAAGGCCAGGAGGACAGGCAGGGATTTAATGTTCGCTAGGAAGCGGAAAGCGGGCAGGATGTTAGCCGTGGATAAGTCGAGATGCTGTAAAATCTGCCAGGTATGGCAGAAATATAACAGAGTTGATTTCGTACGAGGATCAACCTGAAATCCCGTATACTGACGTTGCATGATGTGCCAGAGCATCGACAAAAATGGCAGAGGCTCTGGCGGTGAATATATGGCAGATGACAGAACTTCCACATTGTCAAAGGCACGGAGCGAAACGGAGCTGCTTTCCATTGCTAACTGGGATAAATGAGAGCAGAGAGCGTTGTCGTTTGGTAACTCCTGTATCATAAGACTCAAAGACGAGTAAGCCAGCAGACGATGAACCACAGCTTCAGAGATGAGCTGCTCTCCGCAGCGCAGAGGGTCGGACAGGAAGTCGCAAAGGGATTCGTGACAAATTTGCACAGCGCCGTCATGACCATCCGAGGTGCAAACCAGAGGTGACAATTGAGACAATGCGGAACGCATGTCAAACTTCGGGTTTGGTCCTCGGTTAAGAAGGTCATCTAGTTGCGAACATGACAGCATGCCAGCAAGATTCGCAACAATTGTGAGATAAAGGTATGCTTGCCCCGGGTCGTCGGCTGTGGATATGATGAATTTGTAGAAGTCGTCCATCGATGACTCCGAAGATGATAAGGGGTTGAAAGAAATGTGATCAATGAAATCCATCCTCTCTGTGGGGTCATGGTCAAGGCTTTCAACGAATTTTACGATGATGGATCCTGTAATGAAGTGGGGTCCTACTCTATCCACCAGACGGCCAAGTACCTCTTCCGGTGGCCACGGCTTGCGACATTGAAGACGGTGGCGTTTGTAAATCTTATCGAAAGATTGGCAAAGGAACGATCTGACATCCCTAGTGATGCCAGTGAGGTCCAGAGCGATGTCCGATATCATTGGAAAGAGATGGCGCTTGATCAAGACTCCTTTCATATAATCACGACTTGTGAAGAAGATGTGAAGGCCCACATCAACCATATGGGAGAGAAGTCGAGTAAGAAGTGAAATGAGTTGGGGCACTTGGTCTTGACACTGATCTATAGCATCAATAACGAATACCCTTGAAGGAGAGCGCCAATCAATTGCCTCCAGAGGTTCAATGAGGAGCCGAGCGAATTGCTCGTGCAAATCTCGAGAAGGAGAGATTATACCAGGATCGCTGTCCAGAGTTTTGATTATTTTTTCCTTCGCCTGCGGTTGAGATAGCCCAAGTTGATACGCAAGCGCAAATACGAGAGAACGTGCGTTTTTGCCATTTGCATGCCTGCGAGAGAAGAAAAAACTACCCGCCAATCTATTTTTCTGTCTGAAACGACTGGCAAGAGTGTATGCAATGACAGATTTTCCTGTACCGGCAGGTCCGTGTAGCCATGACATAGTATTACCGGGATTCTCAAAGTTCGCTTCGAGCCTTTCGACGAGGCAAGCACGATCACTGCCTAGTTGAACCACCGGTAGAGGTCCTCGACAAGGCGAGTCAAATAAAGCACCGAGGGGTGCAAATCTGCAAAAGAAGGCCCAGGTATAGTCTTGACTCGAAGGTTCCAATGGGGGAATAGGGTTCAGTAGCTTGAGTGTGTACAAGGTCTCATGTTGGAGGATCGCACTCGACCGCACGAAATTACAGATCCTGCAGGCGAGCTTAAGGGTTTATCAATGATGATGAGAAAAAAGACCTAAGATACGTGACCCATACCACTATATCATTGCCCATACCCATACCTGTTCTAGGCACAAATGCAGCAGAAAGCTAATGATTAGTGTCAGTCAACGAAGACGGACGGATCACAAAGTATTACAGGTAGATTGAACAAATCATTATTGGAGTAATTTGGTAGCGTGTTCGGATTTGAGTTGGGGTATGGCGGTAGGTATTCCTGTGATCAATCAAAGACACAATCAATCCGCAGTAAGCTCACATGATGGGGATCGGAAACGTACACAAGGAACTTCCGATACCGGCAGGGTTTGGGGAGAATGTGATGCGGTAGTTTCAAGTTCCAGCTTTGATATCAACGGCAGCCTGTCAGTTTCACAAATGTCGACGAGCGAATGGCAACGCACAATAGGATCCCACAGCAAGCCCCTCGCTCGGTAACGTACAGTTGAATCAGTTGCAATGTGGTACGACATGAGACGCCTCCTGTCAATGGCTTTGGACATCGTCCCGCTGAGATTTAATGTCCAACATTCTCCTCGCTTCGACTGAGCTAAGCCGCGGAAGATGGTTTCGTGCAGGAGTGCGTCTATACGCTTCCAGCCTTGACGTTTTTGCAAGATCGGAAGCACCGGCGCAAGGTTGCAGCGAAGCCTGAATGCCTCCTCACACCCTGCATGGAGGTGGATCGGGATCAAGCTCTTCTCGTGGAGCGTGAGCGGTATGTCGAAAGCTGAATAGATCGCCTCAAAAACATCACGAACGCGAATGCCTTTATCACGCTTCACGTAGATATCCCATTGCAAGGGATCGCACTTGAAGTTGATGGTCATATTGGTCAGTTCCTCGTCTGCGGCCGGCATGTCGAGATCGGCATCAGACAGGGGCGTCTGTCGAATTCCATACGAGGAGTCCTGCATGTACTCGATGTCATAGGTAGGAAAGGCGATATCGAAGTGAAGTAATAGGTTAGGTCGAGCTGGATGGAATGAAAGTAGTCGCCAATTGATATTCGGTGCGGGAACGAAGGAAGGTGACGCTGAGCTCGATGTATACGGACTCATCTCTGTAAACTCCATGTAGTAAGTATTTGCGCCATCATATGAATCCAAGATCTCGAACTCCTCACCACTTTCAGATGTGTCACGTAACCTCGGGCTCAAGTGGGACCGCTCCGGCCATGGCGTACTGTTGGGAAGTGCAGGATACAGTGTTGTTGCACTGGACGCATTACTAGCTGCATACCACGACGTCCCGGTGGAACCGGACGCCCATAGGGCTTGCGCTTGGCCCACGAGTTGCCGGGAAGAATCGGGGAGATGGGGGGAAGTGGATCTTGAGTATGGCGGCGGCAGCGATGACGGCAGCGAAATATAGTTCGCCGGGTTGGGGCGAGGGCGAGCTCGCGGCAGAGGTTGGGTGATCTTCCTGCGCATGGTTGTCTGGGGGAGAGATAACTTTGACTCTGATCTGGGGGATCTTGATTTGTATTTACTGGTGGACTTCGCTTCAGATGATGGAACTATCTCGTCGACTGCGGGTATGGCAATTATACTAGAAGAAGCACCAGGTGCGACTTCCGGGTTAGAGGATGATGAGTCCTGCGGAAAGTCTGAACCTGTCCCGGTGGGAGAAGTACCTGTCTTTCCCTTTGATATAGATACTGCTATCCTATCTATGGGGCCCATGGTATATGTCCAGAAAACACAAGATGGCGGTCAGTGTCAGCGTCCGCGTCAATACTTGACTCTGATGACTGTTCGTGCAGCGTGCCACAATCACCAACTGATTCCGCATTTGGCAACCAAATCTAGATGTTCGGGACATACCGATCCAAAATTTCAGTTGTTCAACGACCTCAACGAACTCAGCAGAGGCTACGATGGCGACGCACGCACTTTTTGAGTCGGCATCGGGATACGCCATCTTTGATGTAAAACTTCATGAAAACATTGGCTCGCGTGTCAAAGCAGTTCAGGACTCCATCAATGACCTCTCAAAATTCGGCAAAATGGTCACACTCGTCAGTTTCTCGCCATTCAAAAATGCAGCGGACGCTCTCGAGAACATAAACGACATCTCAGAAGGTACGTACAACTGGACCCATTCCTCGTGCTCACAGCAATTTCAATGATCCCCAGGTATTCTCAGTGATCATCTCAAATCCCTCCTCGAGCTCAATCTCTCGAAGCCTAAAAAAGGCTCCAAGATAATCCTTGCAGTCTCAGAAGTCGGACTGGCAAATGCCATCTTCGAAAACCTCGCCATAAAATGTGATGCCTCTGAAACTTCACAGGAAGTCCTTCGCGGCATCCGCTTCCATGCACCAAAGCTTCTCAAAGGCCTCGATGCTACCGACCTCATCAAAGCCCAACTTGGTCTTGGCCACTCCTACTCCCGCGCTAAATTGAAGTTCAATGTCAACCGTGTGGACAACATGATCATACAAGCCATCGCCCTCCTCGACCAGCTCGACAAGGACGTCAACTTGTTCGCCATGCGCATACGAGAATGGTATGGCTATCACTTCCCCGAACTTGTCAAACTCGTCCCAGACAACTACCAATACGCCCGCATTGCACAATTCATAGGCGATAAGGACACTTTGAATGAGGAAAAATTACCTGAGCTCACTACTCTCTTGGAGGACGACTCCACCCTCGCACAAAATATCCTCGACGCCGCCCGCGGCTCAATGGGCTCATCCATATCCGAAATCGACATGCTCAACATCTCCGCATTCGCAACCCGCGTCGTTTCCATCGCTGACTACCGTAAATCCCTCGTTACCTACCTAAGCGAGAAAATGAACCTCGTCGCTCCATCTCTTACTGCGCTATTGGGAGAACGGATAGGCGCACGATTAATCAGCCATGCGGGTAGCTTGACGAATCTGAGCAAGTACCCTGCTAGTACCGTGCAGATCCTTGGTGCAGAGAAGGCGTTGTTCCGGGCGTTGAAAACCAAGGGCAACACCCCCAAGGTTCGTTACTCCATCCCAAGCGCCAATCAAGCTAACTTTCAATACAGTACGGTCTGCTATACCACTCCTCCTTCATTGGCCGTGCAGACCCCAAGCACAAAGGCCGGATATCCCGGTTCCTCGCAAACAAATGCTCTATTGCCTCCCGGATAGACTGTTACTCGGGTAACTCCCATCTCATCTTCACACACTCACCCCTTACTAAAAATACCCAGATAACCCATCCGCAAAATTTGGCGAGGCCCTTCGCACACAAGTTGAAGAGCGTCTCAATTTCTTCGAGACTGGTGCACCACCGACCAAGAATGTCGATGCCATCCGCAAAGTCCTCGATAGTCTCGCACTAGACTTGGAGGATGATGAGGATGAGGATATGGAGGATAAGCCAGACGCTCAGATGGATGATGCAGAGCCTATATTGCCATTGATTGACGTCACGCCTAAGAAGGATAAGAAAAAGAAGAGGTCGAGAGATGCTATGGATGTGGACGAAGCGGACGAAGAACCTGCGGAGAAAAAGGTGAAGGTGTCCAAGGAGGAGAAGAAGGCTTTGAAGAAGGCAGCCAAAGCAGCACGTAAGGCTGAGGCTGCTGCTGCCGCTCCTCATGTATGCTTGAGTTTGTCGAATAATCGCGGTCTTGGCTAATTTTCCTTCTTCAGAATGGCACCTCTGAGAAAAAAGAAAAGAAAAAAGACAAGAAAGAGAAGGAGAAAAAGAAGAGCAAGGCATGATATGATATCTGTGGTATACCTTTCCGTCCGGGTGTTGTCTTTTTTGTATTTCTGCTTTCATAATCGTCTTTACCTTGATGAATGGTTCTTGCGACATCAACGTTCCGTTCGGGTTAGAATTTGGTGCGATACTGACTCGTGCAATTAACTCCAAGCATCACTATTCGTCCCCTCGTCCCACTACCCTCCATTCTGTTCAATTCTAACATGGTGGTTTTCCGCTGCCACCGCCCAACGACCAACTTGCGACACGTATCTGACGAGTACATCCAGTGGACGTGTGCATCCCCCCGCGTGTGGTAAATCGATAGCGTTGAACGACACTAGCGACCGACGAATTTGCGCGTTTCACTGCAAATAACAGAACGTCCTCATAGTCGAACCCGTTTTCTTGTATATCTTTATGGTTGCCCATATACCTTGATAAATGTGTAAGTTCGTGTTCGTTTTCATTGACACCCCCAGTGTGCTAGTACTATAAAGCAAACATGCACATTACATAACTGCAGTAACATATAGTAAAACCATGCGTTGGTATGATTTCGAGTCCTGTCCAAACATGCCTACATCTTATGAAAATTAGCAACACATAGGGTAAACTCTGTCAAATCCCGTTCTAAACAACACACCACCTACACTCCAACTAATGCATCTCCACATTCGCAGCCTGCAGCACAACAACCGCACTTGGGCACCCAGACACTACAAATGCAGTTGCCACATCCCCGATCGTCTTACTCATCACCTCATGCCCCACCGCTCTATGCTCCTCCACAAGATCCTTCAACTCAGCATGATGGTCCTCCACTGCCAGTCGCTTCGACCGTCCAGTAACAACCAATACCCGTTGGCACATAGATGCACGCTGGATAGCAGCATGCAGCGGGACGGGAGACGCGAGGTTCGTGAAATCGATCCGCGAAAGCGCGGCGCGCAATAACCCAGTTGTGTTCACATCTGATAAATTGCGGCCCGCATATCGTGACCAAATGATGCTGTCGGCTGTTTCGGACTGCATGCGCATTTGGGTGTTGGTCTGCCCGTAGACAGTGTCTGGAAATGCTATTATCTGCATCATCGATGATGAAAATGATTACTCGGTTCATGCGGGGAAGGTGGTCGCACTCACTGATGATATTGTCAATCCTTGTTGATGAGCAAGTGCGAGTGAGTTGGTATCAACTTTGACATCAGAGTGGGCCGTAGAAGGTCGTTCGATTTGCATATTTTCAATCTCGCGTTTTTCCATCTTCACCACTGTTGCACTGATCCTCGGGTTCGTACAGAGCTGCACCACGAATTCCAGCGCAAGGCGGTCATCGGGGCCGCCAAAGAATGGAAGAAAAATGTGATACGAGCCGCCTGTCTTCGCACCCGTGTTGAGGTGATTTCCAGGATCAACAAACAGGGCGACGTCTGTCTCACTTTGTGCGAATACCCCACGTACAAACTGCGAGTGAATGGCAGACGCAGACTTATCCCTTGATGTACCGAAAATGACCTCGAAAGGGTTGTGATCGAACTTCTCTCGCCGTAGCGTCGCGCCTTCGCTTGTTTCAGCAATGCTAGCGCAAGGTGGCAACCACGGGAGTAGTATGAGCTGAGATGCATCTTGTTTGGCATGATCCACAACGTTGCAAGCAAGGTCATCGTGCGGCACGATGGCGAGCGATGACGATACAGGCAAATCATTCAGCTCTCCAAACATGCGGAATATGCCCAGGAGCGGATCGGTATGGATAAGCGTATCTGCAGTGGATGATTTCATCACGGCCGACGCACGATCCGAGAGCTCGATGAGGCGGAGTGCATTGATGCTCACTTCGGGCCTCCTGTACTTCAACGGAGCTGGGTCAGATGCAGCAGACATTGGTACAACTGAGGAGAAATCTGGTACAGGAGGACGGATGAGCTGTGTGAGGGCCATCATGCACGGCATATGTTCGAGTTTGTCGAGAACGAGAGTAAAGCGATACCGCCAGGGTTGCTCCTCATTTATAAGAGATTTCTTGTCTGCATCAAGATCCCCGCCCTCGTCGTCACGAGTTTTGGGCGGAGCCCCGCCTGAAGTGGCGATGACACGCCGTTCTGGAGGATACAATGCTCTGACGAGTGGGGTGGTCATGAACGTGAGTGTCAAAGCCTCTAGCACAAACATGGAGAAGACTTTCGGAGACAAAACGCCAGCGGAGAGACCGACATTAAGCACGATTAGCTCAACGAGACTAAGTGACACGAGTAACACAATTTAGCAGACAAGAATACCAAAATATTTAGATACTTACCCCTTACAGCTCATGAGTGATCCAATTGTACTGGCTTCACGCCAGCTGAAACCAGACAACCTTGAAGCAATTGTACATCCACCAAACTTGCCCAAGAATGCAAGGCATGCGATGGCGATTGTAAAAGCCCAAGTGATACCTGCAACACGCAAAGTTATATAAGAAAAATATATAACAAGGCGACTTAGATGACCGACCATCATCAAGGAGTCCAAGATTGGTGTTCAGCCCTGACAGGGTAAAATACTGGAATGCATGAATGACCAGACAGGGGACAGAGATGATGAACATACCAAAGGCAGAAATATGATGGTGACCATATCTTCCAGCTTCTCCGTCAAAGCAATGGCGAGACCGCCCTCCCTCGGTACAATAATACCGGCTAGGAATGCACCTATGCGCGATGACAAACTGAAGATTATATAATAAAATACCAGCGCTCACCGAAAATAGCATTGACGCCCACGATATCCGTAAAGAACGCACATGCCCAAAGCAAGATCATAACAACAGTCATGTAAAACATGGTAGGACCATCATCTGTACTGCCTGTAGCTCTGGCAAGCCAGAGCATTACTCTCTTAACGACCAATAAAAGAAATATTGTGAATGCCACGCATGTGAGTAATACCCATAGGGCAGTAAGACCGGAACCAGCGTTGACGAGCGCTACACTGAGCGCCAGGAGAGTCCAACCCACGACATCATTGCCTACGCCAGCTGAGAGAACAACAATGCCAACAGTGGTGTCCAAGAGTTTGAGCTCAGTAAGAATACGACACAGTACGGGGAAAGCGGTTATGGAATATGCGACGCCGGTGAACAGCATGAAATGCGTGAACTGGACGGATGGGTCGATGAAGTGGTGGTACAAGGGAACAGACAAGGCAGAACCGAGGCCAAAGGGCAGAGCCATGCCCGCAAGCGATACAATAGCTGACATGCGAGCATTGCGCTTGATGACACTGGCGTCAATTTCGAGACCTACGATGAAGAGAAACAGGCAAAGGCCAATATTAGCAACGAGAGATAGGTATGGCAGTGATTGGGAAGGGAATATATGTTGGGTAAAGCCGGGTATACGTCCAAAGGCCGTTGGGCCTGTGTAGATTTGTCCGTCAGATAAAATTTCACGCAGAAGGTAACAGGATTACTCACCCAGAAGGATACCGCCGAGCACCTCGGCGATAACTTTTGGCTGCTTCATCCTGCCTAAGCCGAGAGAAAGCAGCTGATCTAACATTATAATGACACCTGAATTGAAGTGAGATCATGCCAAGCGATGGTCACATATGGCATACGCACCAACTTGGATGATCCATAACCTGAGCGGGTCCGAGACATCGAAAGCCGATGGATCAGAACCAGTAAGCAAGCCACCCTATGATGTAGACGGGCGTGTTCAGCACATGTTGGTTGTAAGATGGAGAACAAACCTCGCCGGTGGCCTGTCTCTTCTTGAGACCGTCGAAGAGGTTGATAATTGTGTCTGAAAACTCTGGCATGGGGGTGTCAGAGAGAAGTGGGACTTCAATTACGGTGGCATATTTATCAGCCTGGTGGCGATTTAAGTCAGTACTAAGCTATTGACTGTGGGCGCAGACTCGGATATCGGCAAGGGGTGTCTGCCAGTACCAGGGGTACTCCGATATATATTCAGCATTCTCTGTTCGTGTTCTAGATATTTCTAACGCTTTGATGCGGCAGCTTTATATCCACGTGAACGTATGATACTTTAAACGAAGTGGGGAAGATTGCGCCTGAAACAATTTCCTTTTTCTCACAAGGTTCAAGCTCAGGCCATATGCTTTGACGCCACCAGCTGGGACAGGGTAACATCTTATTCAATGCTTGTGCCACGATGCACTCTACTGCGCCTTCTAAAGTTCTACCCATAAGCCTAGCGCGGTTCTTTCGAGCATGAATTCGTCACTTCTACCTACATTAAATGCTGATCCTGTTTGGATTGCCCATACTAGTACACCTTCAAGTTCGCACTAGTAGGCCTGGAGGCTCGGGTGGCGCAATTAGCGTGACAGCATGCGATTGCGATCTATTTTGCCATCGACTCCTGTCGCCATATATTACACTCTTGTTCGCGGAAGACTACAAACAGGAACTTCGAACGCAAAAAGTGGGAGTACTGTAAGAGCAACTTCTTCTCATATCATGGCTCCACACAGCAACCAACCCGACCCGTCACCGTCATCCACAAGTTCAGGACACTTATGCGAACTCACTCGAATGAGAACTATCTGTCACCGGGTACAGCTGGAATCGCTTTGCCAAGCGATATTTCGCCATCGCCTTGAAGACATGCGCTATCTGGTAACATGTCGAACTGAGTCTGGCTGCTGCTCCGCGTAGGTAGGGGTAGGTGTGCCGTACCCCCGAAGCACTGTGACTGTAACAGAGACGGGTTCAAACATACCAAGCTGGAACGGGGAGAGGGTGACGATGGAAAGTGGCAAGAAAATGGGCGAATGGAAAAGTTGTTTCTCATCTCTGTCATTTCTTCCACGGCGGGTAGAGGATCGAGATGAAACTTGAGTTCAGGCAGCTGGGCCTGCGGTGACCAGAAGACGTCAGGCCCAGCTGTTTTGGCTCGCACCGGCTTGTACGGTTCACGTACGATACCCTTTCTGACGAGAACGGAGTTATCCAGTGAAGGCGAGACTACGTTGTAGGGATCGCGACCGGATGAAGCTAGAAGTTAAAAGGTGTGAATAGGGCGCAATCCCTCGAGTTAAAGTATACTAGTCTCTAATGAGCCCTTACCTTGTTCCTGATCAGCGATAGCATGACGATGAACTATCCGCCATGTCCAAAAAATACACGAGAGTGCGAGGATAAAGACAATACTGATCACTAAAATACGTGTATGATGAAGTTTCTATTTCATTGCAGAGAATGACTTACCGATGATTGTAACGATATCCCCAATACAGAGGGTCGTACCGCTGGAAACAGGCTGACACCGTATGCCATCATGGACGGCGCGAGCAACAGGGGCGGTTTGTGGAGTCATCATGAGGGCAACGGAACTGAAATACTAGTATATACAAATTGCGATGTTAGGAGGACAGCAATCTTGACTGCGAAAGGAGTGGGTGACACGCTCTGCGTAGAGGTGGTGTGCTGGTTATGATATGAACGGCGACTTGAGAGGAGTCTGACTTGGATTTAGCCAAGAGCGACCGCGGTCAGCCTCTCTAGCATAGAGGGGCCCTTCAAGTTTGTGGTATGATGATCGAAATCAAGATTCAGACCAGCTTGGCTGACCCTGGCTGACCTGGACACAGGCAAGTAGTGTGCTGCAAGTGATTAGTAGTATCTACAGAGTCATAGTTGAATGAAAACAGCATTTGAGAAGAAGCCACTCGGTGCCACTTGTACCTTGGGTTCGAATGAATGAATGGATTTTTGATTGGCCGCATCTACGCTCACATGAGCTCAGGTACTCAAATACCTCGATGGCTCAATTACAAACGTTATAAGGCTAACTACGAAAGCCAGGAACAAACCATTTTTCTGGAGGTGCTCGTCACGTGCGCAACACAACAGTTTCAAGTTGCTACTATGTAGCAGCAAACTAGCAGCCTAGCAATGTCTCCAAGTGGCAAACATGCTTAATTCTCGTGCCTGCTAGTTGTGGAAGCACTCTATGGACTCCGTCAACCATCTCCTGTCTTGGGGGCGAAGAACGGGAAACTAATCACTCATCAATCAAAACCACCACAAGTTATGCACTAAGGCGCCGCCACCCTTCAAGTTGCTGGTCGACATTTAACTGATAGGCATTGCGCCCTCTCCACTGCGCTTGCAAAATAAAGTCAAGCCTCGATTCTTTCTTTTGCACCCCTTGAAACACGCTGTTCAGAAGCATTTGTAATATAATCATCACCATCACTGCATCTGGAGAAGACCCTGTTTCCGTTTTAGCTTTGCGACGATCTTGCCATATGAGTATCCTTTTAAAACGTGCGTGCAGTGTGGTCAAGCACCCCATAACCCAAGGTGAGGGTTACCAATTCAAGCTGTGGCTACGCGGCCGCGAGGCCAACATGAAGCTGAATATCTGGCGGATTTGAACTATATAGTGCCGGCACGAGTCATCCACCAGCCTTTCAAGGTAGCCCATCGAATCATTCGGACATTGTTCTCATCTCTTGCAGTGATCGCTCACTATTGTACGAACTTTTCTTTCTAATTGTTCGACTGCTGATCACTTTGCGCAAGCAGGATAATGGCATGGCTCGTACCTGTAGGGATCTGGGCAGTATCAGAGTTGTTCGGTTTCGGTCGCGGTGACAGCGCTCCCAATCCAACTTATGCTGAAATCGAAGCCCGCCGGTGGGCTGAGAGAGAGCGGGATAGGGCCATTCGGGACCTTGACAGTATGAGGGTGGAGGTGGCGCAGCTCACGCAATCAATGCAATCAATGCAAAGTAGGACACTTCGGTTCCAGCAAGAGGCCATATCGGCTGCGGCAGCCGCGCAGCAGAAAAATCAGGAGCAAATGAGGGCTATGTTTGACGCCGTGAGAGCTGCAGATGCGGCCCATTTCGCTGCAGAAAGCGCTGCACGGGTTGCAACAGAGGAGTTCAAGAAGAAGGCCCAAGAAGCTGATGCGGAGAGGCAGCGCACCCAAGCTGCTTTCGAAAAAGCTCAGAGAGCGGCGGAAACTTCTAAGCTAGACGCCGAACGTCTTCAGAGAGCAGCCGAAGAAGAAAAGAAGAAAGCCGCGGAAGCCGTCGCAGAATCAGAGGCGGTAAGAAAGGTAGCTGAGAACAATGTTCGCGAAGCTGCAGCTGCCAAGGAAGACGCTGAAAAGCGGCTTAGAGACGGCATCCAGCCTGTATTAACGCCTACTCCTCAAGAAATTCTCGCTGCCCAAGCAAAAATTCAGTATCAGGAGAATTTATTCCATTTCGCTGTTGCTGGGAGGGCCGGTGGAGGGAAGTCATCACTCGTAAACGCATTCCGCGGTATGAGTAACCGCGCAGTTGGTTCCGCTCGGACAGGGGTCATAGAGACCACCTTGACGATGGGAAGGTATTCAGACCCTGACGAGCGGTGTCAACATGTCTGGTACGATCTTCCTGGAGCAGGGACAATTAGGATCCCGGATTGGCAATATTTCAACGCGCAAGGACTCTACGTCTTTGATTGCATTGTCGTCTTGTTCGACAATCGGTTCACCCAGACCGACATCGCTATTCTCCGCAATTGCAGGCGCTTCAAAATCCCCACTTACATCGTTCGTTCAAAAGCGGACCAACATATTTCAAATATCGTAAGGGAGATGGGATACGAGAGCGATGATGAAAACGCCGATCGGTCGCAACAGGCAACCTTGTACTTGGCTGCGAGAGAGCAACTCGTCAACGAAACTCGCCACAATGTGAAGGCAAATCTTGCGGAGGCGAATCTACCTGATCAAAAGGTTTATATCGTCTCTAGTAGCTGTCTACGAGCTGTGGCCAAAGGCAATCAGCCTTCAAAGGTCATCGACGAAATCCAACTGCTAAATGATCTATATACGGAAGCACAAGCTAGGCGAGTTCGTCAGTCAGGAGGGGTTTCCGCCTGAGGAACTAGTCCAGAGGAAGTAATCGGTTTGCTTTGAAAGTTTCGTGTTTCGAATTTGAATGGCAGAGGCATATTGCCTATGATTCAGATTCTCGTGCTCATCACATATTTGGATCTGGTGGTACAAATATGTAACTTGACAGTTCTGCTCTTTCTCGTTGCCGCTGCGCGAGCCGTATGCAGGTCCTGGCAGTGATGCATGTCCTCCTCGTTGATACAGACTCTACCATCTCCTCTGTCAATAGTATGGTGCTTTGATGTCCTCTACTTGCCTTTGACCTCCTCATCAGTGGAGGGAGCATTGAAAACAGGGCGGCCAAGTTAAGGAAGCTATACGACATCCTGGGATTCTGAGTATTCTCCTCCGAGTCGAGATTGCTTCCGCGAAGACCCGAGGCAGCACCTCCGAGCGGAGTGTCAATGACGGTCCGTCTCTGTTGCGATGAAGACAATCTTGGCGGTTCCGATTATTACCAGGTGCGCAGGGATGGGACAAAAAACGGAAAGCTGGCGGGCACGAGTTGTGAATGGGGTTACTAAGTAACTCACGCAACGCTTCAGAAGCTTCAAATTTTAGTCCGGAACCATGTGGCAGAAAATGTCCGATGAAGTAACCGAAACCACTACCTCTCACTACAACCGCTTATACCATATGGAGCACGTCGCTATGTAATCTCCTCATGTTCTCTTCCGACTGAATCTTTTCGATTCTCCCGGAAGGACCAACGACCACACGATATCGTCGCGTTCATCGTCGGAAATGCGGAACAAATGGCATCGTCACAAGTTGGAATGCAACACCTTCATTAATGTTGACCCCGATATGTAAGTTGCATCACGGTATCATAGAGGAAAGGATCAAACTTCGTCGGCAGGGTTCTTGTTTAACGGTTCATCGTACTGTTTGAATGATCACTATTAGCTTTGTCAACAAAGCATCAGTCACGATGGAAATACGGAGCAGAATAGGAGTACAAATTTGTACAGTAAGATACGACACGAGTTAGCGAGAGCGTGTGGATGGCATAAGTTCAAAGAAGTGTTATACGAGTGACAATACTACTGGATTCTGGGTACGGGTTTGAACAATACACACGTCATGAGCACGCACAAGTTTTCCCTTTGTTCTGTCGTTCGGTAGAACACGGAAACTTTTCATCAGAAGACGGGAGTCGGTCACATACTCCTCAAAGTTGCATACACAGATGAAAGTGATGGTGACCTTCTTAATGTCGAAACTGACCTTCAAGTTACGAACGGCACCCGAGCTCGGAGAAAGTGCTATCAAGATCGTCCTTGAACAAACGAGAAGAGGCATTCTCACAATCAGGTCCAATCGTGGAACCGGCATATCCTCCTGCACGAGTACTCCGAGTGGTGAAGCTGCATCGTTTTAAGCCACTTCAACTCGAGGGGCTTGCGACAAAGAATGTCTTACCGCTGGTCCTATTAGAACACATTCTCAGTTGTTTGAGGCCGCGAAATGAAGTTCACCAGCAGGTGACAATTGCCTATTACTGCAGCGTATTCCTTTACGGACCACAGATCGCAGGGGCAGACCATTAGCAAGTCAGCCATAGACTCGGACATCGCAACCCCACCCTCTGCATGGCTAATGCCCACGTGGCACGTGGCACGTCGTACTGTCGCGAAGCCGTGGACACGCGGCCGTGGCAGCATTCAATTACCTCGAGACTGAATTGAAAAAATTACTTGATACATCCTTAAGAGCCTATCTGCGCTGAGAGGAATGTGCGGAACCAGTAGCAGCCCTTCAAGTTGATAGAGGTGCGGAGAAACGGTGGAAGATTCGTAGCAGGGTGACGAGAATTTACCACAACGCACAAGCGGCGTAGCCGGCGCAGAAAAGCTTTAGTGTTACGTAAAACGCAATTAGGTGTGAATTGTCAGTGTGCAGTGACCTTAGCAAACAACGTAATGAGCAAGTTCAAGTATCCAATAATACAGGAAATACACCAGGTACTACCTACTCTGTCTATATGAGTTCTATGATGTCTGAATCATGACTTCGCATTACTAGGACTAGCAATGCCTACGCTGTCACCAAACCCAATTTGCCTCGTTCTAAGACAGCTTTGAAACCAAGGTGTTCCTCCGCGGCAAAATACTCCGTAGGGTTGTACATCGTATGAATGGGCTTTCGCGCGTTGATCTCACTCAAAACGGTCTTGGCTTCTTCATCGGTATTTCCGAGCAAACGATCAATGTCGTCCTCTATCATGATTGGGGCGTCTGGGGAGGTTAGAGTAGGATCCAATCTATTGCATTTAGTATGGGATAATTTGGTAAAGTAAACGACGAACGCTTACCTAGATTTGACTGCAGAGTGCATCTCTGGATCAGTCGGTGCAAAGATGTGACGACAGAAGTCCATAGTTTTCTATCAGGCGAGTTGAGGATGACGTGGAGATTAATCACATAATTTAGGGAGTACCTGGAGTTCATCTTCTGTTAAAGTCTTACCAACATCTGCTGTTCCTTGTATCACTGCACTCGGGTGATCAGTTTTGGCAGTGATAGAAGAAAACTTCGATTCTCACCCGGTCTGAGGATATCAAAGGCTTTGTCAAAATTGTCCTCATCCACATCGCTCATGACTGGCATGGCCTGACTCCGAATCTGTTTATAGGTCCCAAGGACGACGAGAAGGAACCTATATCATTCATCACATTGATTGTTATCGCTCTAGTGACTGAGTTCACATGCCTCGTGTAAGAGCTGCCAACCTTTGAGGTGTGCCAACGTTGGGCATCCTCTTCGCTGGTTAGTCCTCGAATCGACGCAGCAATTGTAAGAGCAGCCGAAAGTCCTCCTGTGAAAGCCAAATGGACTCCAGATGAGAAGAATGGGTCGATGAATGCTTGCAAACTGTCAATTGCGAGTATCATAAAAAAGCAAGTGATATACCTCCAGAATCCCCCGCCACGCGGAAATGATTCCCAGCATAGGAGGAAGCAGAGTAGCTGAAGTCGCTCGCAGATTTCACAGCTTCCGGTGTGCCATCGTTTCGGAGAGTGCCCTTTCCGATCAATTCGATGGCTCCAGGAGCTCTCCTTAATTCTTCCTTATAATGAGCCAGGAGATTTGAGCCAGATCCTCCTGATGCCGCACGGGAAGCCTTCTTCTTGCGGTTGCTTGACTCTTGATCAATCACGATTCCCACAGATGTGGATCCATCGTGAAGAGGGATGAACCAAGCCCATCCAGACTCGTCTGTGAAAATTAGGCTTAGCTTGACGATTTCGACTTGCTTTCATACCTTCAAGTGCTTCAATCCAGACAGCATTGTCGCGAGTAGTACCCGGCATGTAAGAGTTAGTTCCATCCCAGTATCCCCAGCATGCAACGTTGTTGAGGGCTTGATTATAGCGTCTGTTCTTGAGGTACTTTGTGGACATGATCCCATTCCTGCCTGACGCATCGACTAGATAGTCGAAAGAGATACGGCCCTCTATTCCGGTGCTGGTGTTTTTCCAGTTGGCTGAAACAGGTCTGTCACCCTCGAACTGAAGTTCAGTGACCCTTGTGTTGTCGAATACGATCGCGCCACATTTTGAAGCATGGCGCAATAACAAATCGTCAAATTCTGATCGAATCTGCAAAATGGTCAAAATGGTGAGGCAGTAAGCATATCTTCAAAATAGTACGGACCACGTTCCAACACCCATTGGCTGGGTTCATTGCTATAAAATCCGTATCTGGAGCAAATGATCAATATTGTTGCAACAACGTGTAATGGCGAGTGGGGCTCACAGCCTTCCCGCTTGTACTGGTTCAGCTTGACTGCAGCACCAGGCTATGAAACGAGGGGGTCACCGTTTAATGTACTCTGACGCAGTGAAGACTATTCCACACCTTAACTGTGAACCCGTGGTTCATGACCAATTCCTCCGCACCAATAAATGCCAAGAAACGGCGGACCGACGGGAGCAAGCTCTCGCCGATGTGATAACTAGCACAATCGTATATTGGTGACTGCATATACGGACGGTATACATCATATGGACTGACCGAGGGAACTTCGCAGCTTCGAGAAGAGTAACTTCAAAACCTTCTCGAGCCAAAGCCGCAGCAGCGTAACTTCCGGCGGGTCCGCCACCAACAACAAGTATTTGAGTCGAGGTTGGCTAGCTTGTTTTTCAGCCTTCATAGTAAAAGAACGGATATCAGCCACTCACAACTGGTTGAATGGCCATTTCTGCGAAAGAGGTTGTATGAAAGAGATAGGTTGTAGGCTTAGGTTTCGAACAATGAACACTGGTAAAACTGAGCTTTAGAGGGGAAGATTGACCGACTAGTTAGGAATATCTGCTGGGATAAAATACTGAATTTTCGATGGCGGAGGCGAGTTCGCGTTACCGATAGCCTGACTTAACCTTGCATCAAAAACAATCGGGACAAATGAGCGAAGGGGCGACTAAACGGATCATGAGGAACCAACATTTCTATCCGCAGCATTACCATCGGAACATGAGATTGACCCTATCCAAGACCTCAGCGGGAGGCTGGGTAAATAATCTGCAGCTACCGAGGGACTGGAGGCGACTGGTCCTAAAAGTTTCAGCTAGTGAACCCAGCAACTCCTTATCGCAGCGCTAGAGCACCAAAAGAAAATTGGAACACCGCCCGAGAGGAGATGAATGCACCATGTCCTTGCTCCGGGAAGTTGGGTCCGGCTCATCGAATTGAAACACTTCTCGAAGCCTCATAATCTTTTTGCTGCTCTGTCAAAATTGTTATGACAGCTGCGAAGATCCAAGGCTGTTAGGGACGGGCCACAGGCGGGAATTTAAACGCTGTTATCAAGACCTTCATAGGGGGCTTGCGTCGAACCTACAGCCGCATGCCTTGTTTTGATTCTGACATCCTGCAGCCGAGGCGAACGATACTTTTCAGTGAATATATCCGACGTCCCGTCACAACTTACAAACTCATACACAGCTCCGATGTCAGCATTCCCCCATGATCCCCCATGATCCCACTATCACCAGGCACAAGAGCAGCTGTGTTGAAGGAGCTAGGTAAAGCACCGCGGGTTTCAAGAACGGCCCATCGTTACCATAACTAGCGTTTCAGGCATAGCGCGATCCTGTTGACGGAGACTACCCGAGGAAAGAGTCAGAATACCATCCCTGTTATTCGGAACAAATTCTTCAGTGTTCTAATTTTCCTTAATAGTAGTGAAGTACCTTTGAGCTATCGCCGTTCAACGTACGCGCCGGTATACAGCAATTTAATAACCCCAGTCGCACAATTATGAACAAATTTAGAGGACTTGGGGAAGTCTACGCTGTCTGTTGTACAAAAGATGTTAGCCTCTTCTTCGCCGTCAATGTTTAAACTTTCGACTAGTATTAGTCAGCTGTGAACATGTCAGAAACCTAGAAAATCTTGAAAATTTTCACACAACTTCAATACCAAGTACGTACCCAAGTAGTATCAGTCACTTGTGAATATGTCAGAAATGTGAGTCTTGGATTTGCTGGCATGTATGCAGCAGATTCTTTCCGCTAAGATCTGTTTGCAAGTAGTTGTGGTAACGGTGTCACTGGTAAAATTGTAGTACGGCGGAGTTTCAATTCTCCGTTGGTCTCTAGACTTGAATCAAGCTTAATCTTCAACGCTCCAACTTCGGTTCACTCGGCCTTGATTGAGCCGACATCAAGGACTAATGCTTACAGTCTACCTGTTCACCAGGCTATGCGGTCTTGGACGTGGACAGCATCTCATCATCCTTACGTCACCACCATGAAATAATCTGTGTCCTGAGTCGTAGGATATATTATTCCCAAGCCCATCTTTATCTACATCTTTCGAACCCCAACATAGTCTGGGCCACCCTGATTCATCAGCCAGCATCGTAACCGCCCTGCTCATTGCTCGCGCTCGAGGTTGATGCGTTAGAGCTGCATCAGAAGGCTGTTTATTCAGCGCGTACGTTACTCTCGTACATTTCTCCGGATATCCCGACGTTACTCGGAAAGCATTTGTCCGGAATCTTCGGATTGTGCCAGATCCACCCCGATCGGCTCACGAACGAAGACGTCGTGATATACCTTTTCATTTAAGAATTTTCGGCGGCTAATTTTCTTTGGCGGCGTTCTTCCAGACTCACATCTTAACATCTTGCAGGCGCAGCTGTGCTGTCCTCCGGTGGCACGAAAATAAATGGCGTACTAGGAGAACAGAACTGGGAGCGATACAATGCTGCAGGTGAATGGGTGTGATGTGTTGAAGCGGAAAAACCTCAACTAACGAACCGGTTTGCTATACAGTCGTAGCAGCACTCAACGCACCAGCCCCCGACTCTCCCCGACCCGCTCAGCACGGAGAGCGCGTGTTGTAGCGAACTCAAAGCGCCAAAATAATTCTACCATGCATGTCAATTATCTCCGAGCCTAGAATATACTTGAAATTTTAGAACTTCAGCTTTATCCTGATTGGCATCCTGTGCACCGTCAATACGCCAGACTATTCCATAGTACATCTATTGATCCGAGGAATCGGTAAGTTCACATGCACATCGCAGGGAACCATATTCTTAATGCATATATCATATTCAGCGTTCCGTGCGCTGACTAACTTGAAACTTGAAACACGTACTACGGCGTGTGAATCATGTTCTCCGCGGAACAGTGTCTTCGCTACTCAAGGCCTTACTCATCGTTCTCAGAGCCAGATCACAGTCCGGGTCTGCCTCAGGGAAGTGCAGGGAAGTGATAGCTCAGGTATTCTGATGGAGTGAGTCTTGTATGATAGGCTATATGTATATCAACTTACTCGGCCAAAGATGATTATGCTCGACTTCCGAGTCAGCTTCGGGAAACCGGATGGACTGCGCAATATTCATTTCCGTTCGCGCAAGACTGTCTCTTTGGAGCAACACGGGAGAGTGGTCATGAAGTCCGCTGTCTCCTTGTGGAAGTTCTCGTCCTGCTTGTTATCCCCGTTGATAATGGCGCGTTCGTCTGCCAATCATAATATTGTATTGTCATCCGCCGATGTGCGACTGTGGGTGTGTTTCTAGGTGATTGTCTTGGTCATAATGCTGTCGCGCCTTCTTCAAGTGTTCTTGCTGGCTTGTGAATTCTTGATAGATGTGTCAGATCCCAAGTGCGGTGATTCACACATACTTAAATGACCACCGTAAGTGCGGTGTGATCACGTACTTACGGTTCCGTACAACGGCGTCACCTGTCCCAGTCGACAGATAGCGGTCGAAACCAAACCTCAAATGCTTTCTACAGAACTTCAGGCTACCCGAGACTCGGACAATGAAGAATCAAAGGTCCCTGATGTTGAATCATCAGTCTCCAAGGACTCCGTCCTTCCTTCACGTTCTGATGAATTTCCTGAAGGCGGTCTTGCAGCTTGGTCCACTGCCTTTGGGTCGTAAGAAGACTCGATTTTGCAAAACACGGCAAGCTGACTCTTACTTGATTTGTTTAGGTTTCTTATATTGTTCTGCGGTTGGGGGTGAGTATTTCACTCTACTATTGGTGAAGAATGGCTCTCTGAAGGTTACAAGTTACACCACCTCCTTTGGTGTATACCAAGGTATTGCCGCATATGAAAGTGAGGATGTGACTTTATTTACACGACTTGCCTTCCAGACTTCTATACTCAGCATTACCTCACAAATAAGACACAATTTGCTATTTCGTGAGTTGTCCTAGCTCCTCTATTGTTAGTATTATCGAGTTCTTTCGCAGATCCATTGGGAGCTTCAATGCATTTTTAGGCACCGCTGTGAGCATTGTAGCAGGTTCACTGTATGACCGAGGTTATTTGTGGGTATATATATAAGTGTGTCGGAGACGATACTCAGCAGGCTAAACTAGTTATAATCTTGTCATCATCGGATCATTTTTACAGGGCTTTTCTATCTTCATGCTATCATTTGCGAAGCCTAATCAGTACTACCAGGTAACATCCTTCGGCTTTCTGACGTTTTTGTTTTCTGACACTATATAGATATTCCTTACTCAAGGCTTATGCTCTGGTGTCGCGTTGGGGCTCCTGTACGTCCCGAGTCTGGCTGTCGTCTCTCATTACTTCAAACGGAAACGCACGCTGGTGATGACGCTCGTTATTCCGGGTTCATCGCTGGGTGCAATCATTCATCCGATTATGCTTAATAACCTCCTGAATGGGCAGCTCGGTTTTGCCAATACCGTACGTGCAAGTGCAGGGATGGTCAGCACGCTGCTTTTAATTGCATGCTTGTGCATGCGAACCCGCCTTGATCCACCGACGACACCAGTGAATTACATTGCAGCAGCTAAAAAATGTCTTCATGATGTCCCGTTTATTTTCGCTCTGGCAGGGTAAGTCAAAGTCTCTCTCGAATTTGTCCAACTGACTAATTTGTATGCAGGTCCTTTCTTGTCCAGATTGGCTTCTACTACCCTTTATTCTTTCTTCAACTCGACTCTGTCAAGCACGGTGTCAGCATCGACTTTTCGTTTTACTCTGTAGGATCTAGCATTATGCAAAAAGTGGTTCTCCTGCTGATACGTTCACTAGCTCGTGATTTTAAATGTGTCCAGCTGTGTGGGACGAGTTACATCAGGGTACATTGCAGCGTATACAGGAGTCCCAAACTTAACCGTGATTTCGGCAATTATGTGCGGATCGGTGATTTTGGGCACTATTGGATTAAGTAGCCTGACCAGCGTCGTTATTCTCGGTGTACTTTACGGCTATTCTTCGGGTGTGTGTGAGTAGTTTTCCGTTTCACTATATAGTTGAAGGTGTGTTGATCGACCATACAGATAACGCAATGGTAGGTCCACTCGTGGCTGTCTTAACGCCCGACCCTTCTGAGCTTGGGTGAGTGATAAATCAAACTTGATCTGCGCAAACCATCTGATCTGGCCACAGCGGATGGATGGGCATTTGCTTCTTCGTTGGTGGTGAGTAGGATCAGATTCACTTATGGATTCTATTGAATTTAATTTGCATACGTTCGCTACAGGATTTGGAAGTTTGATTGGTAGGTGTACTCGTGATATTTCTTGTTTCAACCTCTGACTGTTTATCTAGGAACCCCCATATCCGGTGTTTTGCTTACATCAAATTATACTTGGTGGAAACCCGCTCTGTTCTCTGGGGTGAGTTGACTATGGTTCCTGTTTTCTTGTTCCATTGACTCGGATTATTTGGCTAACAGCTCGCCGCACTGGCTGGTGCCCTGATGTATAGCTTCATGGGTTTCATTTGCATCAGAAGAAATAAGTTCTAAGTGAGCGGCTTATCGTCGAACACGGACCAATACTAGTAATCCACGGGAATCATCAAAGCATGATAATACAGGGCTTGTCTAGGCTTGTCTTGATAGAAGTTGGGGCACGGGCACGAAGCCAAAGGGCACGTTGATATAGGATAGAAGTGATTGCCGCTGCGCGGCTTGTTGTGTCACCAGAATTATTCTACTTTGATTTTACAAGGATTCCCCTTCGTCCAGCTGCGAGAATTCAATGAAAGAAATTTTGTAAACAGGTGCCATCTCATGACTTCGATTCAACACATAATGATGATGATGATGATCCAGGAAATAAGATCATCAATTGTCATATATGATATAGGCTACTTATGCGACACTGTAACACGCATTATTTTACAGGGATGTAGCCTGACAGGATGTTGGCATAGTGATGCACGCGGTGGCAAGCGTTCAACAAAAATACAATTGCTTCATAGTGTTGCTGACAGTACAGAAACAAATACCTTTCTTCGTCCTCTCTAGGGGAGACTATGACAATACTAGTACAGGATGACTGTCAAATGATCACAGTTCAAACGAGTTCCCACTCTTCCCCATTTTCCGTGTAGAGAAGTTCCTTCACACTCTGAGACAGGGTAGCCCCCACGGTGAAGTTGCCCAAAAGGGCACTGAACGTCAAACCTGACTGAGGGGCAGGTGAAAGAATTACTTGACCAGTGGCAGTGTCGACATGAATGAACATATTGACGTCGGTCAATGTGATGGCGATCTTGTCAGAGCCAATTATGACAGTCCCTGCAGTACCACTGTCAGTGCGACTAATGGTGAAGCGAGTGCGTTCAGTGCGCGACACATAGACCGCGTTCGTTGCATTAGACGATTTGGGAAAGTACCAATAGTCGTGGGGAGCGACCTTAGAACGGATGAAGAAACTTGGTAGGGCTGCTATCAGCAAAATGTAAAACGTCCTGCAAGGAACTAACTCACAAGTTCCCGCTAATATGGTCTGCAAAGTGATCAAGCGGGGGGATAATGCTCGACCCGCGACCACCCATCAGTGAATTGATGAGTCCTCGATATTGTAGCCGTGGGAAGTATAGCACGATGTAATTCTGCTGCCGCCAAATATTAGCTTATATACTGCGAGCAATTTGAATTGCACATATATACTCATGTATGCTTGTAAATCCAGCTTAACATGAATGATTTATAACAATCCTGGGACATTCCGCCTTTGCAGCCAATGAGTAGTGGTAGTATACCTGAGCCAATTGTTTTGAGCTTCGACATCTTACCTGATCTTGTTTTTTAATTACAATGTTATTTAAGGCCTTTTGATGGAAAGAGCCTCGGGCATTTGTCGACAAATATAAAATACCATTAGATTTAGTCACAAAGCTATGACATTCCTCCTTTTCAGATAATGAGGGGTGGTAGTAGACTTATCCCAATTATTTCGTGCATTGTCGTTTGGCCCTATTTATTTATCCCATTACAATGCTATTCAAGCCCTTCTCGTGAGAAGATACCTTTAGCGGACAACTTTCGAAACTGGCTGTACCGCTTCCAGCGGCCTCCGCTTTCAATAAGACTACATTAAGTATTTTCAAAACAATGCTTTACATGTTTCTGATTGCTGCTTATTGCAAATGTGAAAGTACAGCGGCGCTCTACAAGGCATCAGCGGGATCGATTGTGCTACAGCGCTGGAAATATCCTAAGTCCAACATTTGTATATGTTTGTTCATGTGACGGTGCGCTCACAAAAGTTCAACTTGAACTTTTCTTCCCGCTCTCACTCGCTCTCACTCATCGCTACTCTCGCTTGCCACTTTGGCTGACGATGATGGTGCGATGACAACGACGATGACCCGACAGCAACAACCCAACAACATCAACACGACGACGACGATACAACGACAATGACGACGACGACGACGACGACACGACGACGACGATACAACGACAATGACGACGACGACACGACGACGACGACACGACGACGACGACACGATGACGACGACACAACGACGACGACGACACAACGACGACAACAATGACGACGACAACAATGACGACGACAATGACGATGACGACGCGACGCGATGCGACGACAATGACGATATGACGACGACGACGCGACGCAATGCGACGACAACGACACGATGCGACGACGACGTGATGCGACAATGACGAGACGACAACGACGACGCGATGCGACGAGATGACGATGACACGACAACGACGCGACGACATGATGCGACAAGACAACAATGACGATGACACAACGACGACACAACAACATATCTCTCACTCGCTCTCATCTATAATAGATAGATAGATGTTTGCTGTTTATGTCAGATTTAAAATTTAATGGAATTTGCTTGATATCATTTAATTGAATTGGAAAAGCTGCCTGAAAATAATGTGCTAGTATTGTCGTGAATTGAGATCCTATTTACGAAAATTTGAAAGGGATTAAAATAATTAGACAGATTGCCAAATCGTCAAATTCTTGCAGATTTGTGCAAGTTGGATCGCATTTCATCCAATTTGAGAAGGAGGTTTTTCCTGAGTAGCTTTGACATCGGAAGCAGATATAAGAAAATGAAAAACGCTTCTTTCCTCTACAAGGTCAAACATGATAATGTAATGACCGATGGCAGAATTATGCTGATGTGTGTGATTGTGTACTATATATTGTGATATATGGCTTTCTACTTTCTTCACCGGTTCACTGATGCCAAGTCGTTCAGCAAAGTGAAAAACACCTTGCCAAGGAATTGGGTCGCAACCCCATTCGTGGTGAGGGAGTTAACGGCATTGGCCAGGTTCACGTTATGGGTGTAGAACTGGGCATTGACACGCTGAACACTGTTCACGAAGCTAGAGACAGTGGAAGTGGACACGGCACGCCACCACTCATCGGCAACTGCGCGGCTAGCGAAGATGATCACATATCGATAGGTCGAGTTGTCTGTGACCTGAATGGCAATTTAGCACGACATTGCACGCGTTGAGGAATGAATTGAATCTCAGACGTACCTGTTTTACATATGCATAGAAAACCATGATTGTGTGTTCAATAGGAGTGATGATTTGTTGGTTGTGATTGAATTGAAGTGAGTCGTGTGAACACTGTACATTATATAGGGTTGTCTCGATTGAAAGGGGGTGGTGGGTATAAAGAAAAACCGTCGGACCGAGTGAGAGTTCAGGTCCGGTGCAAGGTATGACGAACTTGACATCATGGCAAGCTAGCCATTCCGGCGGGCTGCATTACCCGGCACCTGAATGAACGTAATGCGCAGAGTTAGCAACCTCATACGATACACAGCAAGACAGTTGGATGCACCTGGGGTTAACCTACAATAGTTGTAAATAGGATAATTGTTGTTAATAGTTTGTTTATCGGTACGTTGAGTACCAGCTTACCTAATCCATCAGGAAAATCACGGATGTCTTAATCGGACTTTTTTGACTTTTTAAGGGACCTTAAGGAAAAAAGAGCAAGAGCGCCACAAGACGCGCTAAGGCCACGCCTTGTCTTGTAGCGACTTAAACACAATTGAATCGACTTATCACACACGATTTAAGGCATGAAAACTCGATAAATTCCATTGCAAGTAGCTGTAAAATGCGTCATAGAATCACTAAAAAGTGTGCAAAAGGGTGATTAAGTCAAAAAGTGAGCGAGACACACAAAGCATTAAGAGCATTAAAGGGCAGCTCATGAGTGCTAAGAGGTGACAAAAGACCAGAAAACCAGGATAAAATGCATTAGTGAGGAGCAAAGAAATGGTTCCAAATGGTGAAAAGTGCAGGTGGAGGGCACAAGGATTGAAAAGCTGCATGAAGGAGATGTTGACCAGAGGCGTGAGGCTCACATATCTGTAGATAGTACAAAATGTACTAGTCAAAACCTGGGAATGGCGAAAGACACTAACTTACCAAACATCCGCATGATCATCCTCATCCTCGAATGAGTCATTGCTGGTGTACTTATCGAAGCCGGGTTTCTTCAGAAGCTTCCATGCCATTGAGACAGTGAGCTCTGTTGCTGCCTCCCCCTTCTTAGCTGCCACACATATAAATGTGTCAGTCTTGGATTTCCACTTGGCAATTGAAAATGGATGCTCTGAGACCGTCTCCTTGCCTGTAGCTTTGTTGAGGGTCTTTGGTGTCTTGAGATGAGCTCTCCGTGCAGTAATCGGTAACCCCAAGTGATCCTCATGGTCGATAGTAACAGTATTATCAGCGAGAAGAGAGAAAGTGTGTTCAAGCTACAAATACAGAAATTAGTAGGTGAAAATCCACTTAGGATTGACTTACCGAAACAGCACACAACCCCAATGCCCTGAAAAAACCATGTTTAATTAAGTTGCGAGTGTTGAGAACAGGGACGTCAGCATGTCCTAGAATTCGAGACAGATGCGCCGTCGCAAGAAGTTCCTGCACAAACACAGAGCGAAATGTTTCTGTCTTGTCAATGTTGTCAGGGTTAGGGTATAGGAAGCCGTAGTTGACAAGGAGGAGTTCTGCGAGTTCTGCTGGAGCTGAATCTTGATTGGAGGCACAAAAATCAATTGCAATAGCAAGCACTGTAGACCTGAAGTTGCTACGCCATTCACCAACACATTGTGTGACCTGTAATATATCAGTAGTGTCCCCCAAATAAAGTGGTAACATGGACAACACCAAAAACAGACCCAGACGTGGTGACGTTGTAGCGAATATCTGGATAGACGACCTTGAAAATTTCTTTGCACGCCATGAGCAACTTAGCATCAGCAATAACCCAGAGTTCCTCTTGTGCGCCGAGCCACAGAAAGACTGTCGGTAAAAAGACTCGAACCCATTTTCCATCCTCATGACAGCCTGATGGGAGGTCTGTGTTCAAATATGATGAACGCGCCTTCGATACTGGTTCTACCCAGGTGCCAGGCAACACAGTTGACGTTCCCTTGGATTTGATGTTGCCCTGTTTGGTATTTTTCTCGAGTTTCACCTTCTTTGAGGGAGGAGCAGGAGCCTTGCAAGTGGTGGTAGTCACTGACGTCTGAAACTGAAGTTAGTAGCGAAAAAATAAAAGAAATCACGGAGGGAGATACAGAAGTTGTAGTGCGTATAGCTTTAGCACTGTTCTGAACCACTGGCTCGGGCTTGATATCAGCATCCAATCTGTCACTCGGGCCATCAACCTCCATAAGGTCATCGTCCGTGTCCAAAAACTCAGAGATCTCACTCTCAGAGAACTCAATGACCTCAGCAAGCTTCTTCCTCTTTGTGCTGGATATGGCTTGGGGTTGCGTTGAAGGTGGTGGCATCAAGGCACGGTTCTTCAAGCAGGGTTGAGTGCTGGATGGTGGTTCGAGGTCATGATCAGTGCTAGTAGATACAATACTGATGGTAGACTAGATTCAAATCAGCCTGAGAGGCGCAAACTTGCAAATCACAATTAAAAAAATTCACTCACCATCACTGGTTGTTTACCCTGACTCTTTGTCATAACTGCTGCTGCCTCCCGTTCGAGTGTTTCATCCAAGTCCTCATCTCCAAAAGCTCCATGAATGAACTGATATGGAAACAGGCAATAGCAAAAAAGCTAGCACATGCAGGATGTGAGCAGAGAAAAACGGCGGCATTCAAATTATGAGCTCACCTCGCGAAGTAACTAACATGAGTTTGCATCAACACCGTGAAACAGTCTTCAGTAATACCTCTTGTTGAGCGTTGTCGCAGTTCACGGAAGTGCTTTACAGCAATCCAGACTGCAAGACACAGTGTAAGGACCTCCCATAAAGTGCTGAGTATCCAAGTCATGGCACTCAGAAATATGTAATCTCCCGAAAAGCTAATCATGCACTGATAGCCGGCGGTTGAGTGGCAGTGGTAAGCGATTCTTGCTCAGAATTTGATTTCGGGGGAACCCTTGTCCTCCAGTTTTGAATGCGACCACCTAGAGCAGATTTTGTTCTAGACGCCCAGATGAAATTGAGAAAATATAGAGTAGATTCAGTAAGCATAAACATGGCAGTTTAAGGAAAACACGCACTCGGAGTTGCCTTTCTTGTTGTTTGCACGCGCATCGTTGACATCTGCATCAATGTGGAACCTAACACCTGAGATCGCCGCCTTAAGTGTTTGCTTCTTTGACTTCTGCTTTGTACTGCCTGGAATTTCAATATTGCTACCACCCAATGACTCATCTTCATCAAAAATCTGATCCTTCACATTTGATGTCTCACCATGACCATCCATATTGTCGGCATACTGGCGACCTGCCTTAGAAAAAGGTTCCTCTGATTGGCTGGCATGTGGCTGGTGACCCTTTGGAACCGGTCGCAGTCTGACTGTCTTGGGCTTATCAGCAGCTTGAGCCTGTGTAGCCTCTATCTGGACCTGCATTTCTGCTAGTCTGGTGAGCCCTGCTAGTGCATCCGCTTCCTTTTCTGCCCTGGCTGCTGCCAAGCAGTCATCGTCTGCTTGTTTTTCGGCTTTGGTGCATCATTTCCGTTGTGCGTCAAGAACAATCTGACCTGGATGGGTGGTAGCATTTTTAGCACATGTGCGACGAGGAGCCATGACAAGCGGTAGCTCAATGAAAAGAAGGGCGGGACCAGGATGCACAGGCCGAGTTGTACTAGTGTGTGAGTGGTAGAAAGGAAAATAACTGCACGGAATGAAAAGAAATTTGTAAGTGGCACCCTGTTTTGTCCGGGATGCATGAACCCTTAGCGCTAAGCGCTTATTTGAACCTTAGTCTTTGAACATCTCAGCTTCACTCCAGGCTACCGCATCCTCCCCACACCAAAAATCCACTACGTCAATCCTCCCCACGCCGAACATCCATTACATCCTCCCCACGCTGAACATCCATTACATCCTCCTCACCACGCCGAACATCCATTACATCCTCCCCACACCGAACATCCATTACATCAATCCTCGCCACGCCAAAAATCCATTACATCCTCACCACGCCGAACATCCATTATGTCAATCATCTTACCTGACGCTGAAACTATGCCTGATACTATCCCTCGCACTCAGGTTCATCGCAGAGACTTCAGCGTCTTGCAACTCCCATGTGGACATGCAGGATGCAAGCAGTTTTTCAAGATAGGTGCAGGGCGCACAAAACATATCTTGTCAGCCCATCCTGTGATATCTTCCCCACCACCAGAGCAGGACATGGACATCGATGTCCCAGATGTCCTGTTGCAACAACTTGAAGATCGGTATAATGGTCAGGATTTCCCCTTCTCACCTGATAACAAGGAACACGACCTTGGGTACAGTCATGATCACTGCGCTGATGCACTGAGGTCTTCCCCCCTGCCGGATGTTGATACTGAGTTTTTTGGGCCCGGGAACCATCTTTTTCACAACTATCACGCCCAACTCAATGGTTTGTTTTCATATCTCTCATTAACGTAGCTGCTGACATGGCCTACAGGACGTCCATGTGACATTCATGGTTGTTTTCTCGACGATAATGCATTGCCACCAACTCATGAACCTCAATCTCCGAATGACTGGATGCCATTCCATAACCGCACTGAATTCGAAACTGCCGATTTTTTCTACACTCAGAACCCAACACCTGCCCGGAAAATTGATGCGCACCTTGCCCTATGGGCATCTACCTTGCTCAAACATGGTGATGCACCACTATTTGCAGACAATCAAGATCTCTATGCAATGATTGTTACGCACTCAAATAGATCTGTTATGCGGAGCCCTAAGGGGGGCGTCATCCGCTAACGTTCGTGACGTAACCGGAAGGGTCCAGTGTAGCGACTGAGACTGGCGACGACGAGTCGGCAGATATCAGAGATGCGCGTGTCACGTGACTTCTAAGACAGATGTCTTCAAAGTCACTGACGTTCTCAAAGTAAGGACAGTCTTGTCCGAACGATGAGTAGTCGATCGAGGTAGACTTAGGCGCGATGAGCACCTAAGAAAAGATACTAGAGACTGAAGCTGAGGGGGCTTCAGAGGGAAGTATGTTCGAGGGAAGATTGAGTAGATTCAAGTTAGGGAATCTAGTACAGAGTGACCGACTACTTATACTAAGTGGAAAGGGTTAAGGGCAAGGCTACCGTACTGTAGGTAAGGGCAAAGGGGAAACGGAAAGGGTATAGGTACGCTGGTAGCACAGCCTGATTAGTGATGTGAGGTCGAATGCAGAATGAGACCAAGAAACGTTGGAACGAGCCAACGGTAAATGATACAATGCGCAGCATGCATGAGTCAGAGGAAAGATAAGACAAGATAAGGAAAGCCACATTGGTGGCACGAGTCAGAACGAGTCATAGCCCGAAGGCACGTGCGCACATTGGTGCGATAGGAGGGGGATGAGGGACGGGAACGGTCCCGAGGATCCGGTCAATGGATAGTCAGTAGAGAAGTACGAGCCGGAGGCATACAAGGGCGAGGACGAAGGGGAAAAATGATAGGGGGGCCATGTAGCCGATGTTACTTGTAACAATGATTGACGCAATACCATTGGGAGAGGTCAAGTGGGAGTGTTTCTCATGCTCGTATACAGGTGAGAAGCCTGAAGGTAGTTATCCGCCCTGGATGGACAGCACCTTTGATGTATGGTACCGGGATCTACATCAAGTAGTCCGCAACATGCTCGCAAACCCCAATTTCACACACAAGATGGACTTTCGACCTTACCGAGAGTACTCGACCTCAGGTGAGGAGCGCCACTATAGAGACTTCATGTCTGCTGACTGGGCATGGGATCAAGCAGTGCGTACATGACCATCACTATGAATATTCCAGGGAACTAACATATCATACTAGGACATCATTTCTAAGGATCCAGATACAATTGGCGCCACCTTCATTCCTGTCATTCTTGGAAGTGACAAAACAACCGTCTCTGTAGGAACCGGGAACAATGAGTATTACCCGCTCTATCTGTCCATTGGGAACATCCACAACAATGTCCGGCATGCGCACCGGAATGCAGTCGTAGTCATTGGCTTTCTTGCGATGCCAAAGAGTGAGTGAAATAACTTCTTGTAGTATTTGTACTGATGACCTAGTAGCTACAAAGGAACACACAAGTGACCCACACTTCCTAAAATTCTGCCACCAGTTGTTTCATGCTTCGCTTTCCAAGATTCTCGAAAGACTTAGGCCTGGAATGACGAAACCTGAGGTTGCAAAATTTGGTGATGGGCATTTCCGTCGTGTCATCTATGGCCTTGGACCTTACATTGCTGACTATGAAGAACAAGTTCTGCTGGCATGTATTGTGCGCTGCTGGTGTCCATGGTAGTTGGTTGTTTTTTGTTTCTATATCTTTGACTTATGGTATACTCAAGATGTATGTCACCAAATTATAATCTTGATGCAGCTGGCGCGCTTCCTCGATGTCAAGCGTATACAGAAGAACTTGTTAGTGTGGGGACATATTTGGAACTGTGGGACGAGTTTGGAGTTGTAGCAGATCTTGTTGTACGTCTTCTCATTTTTATCTTTGTTCTTGTTCTCACTACAATTTATATCCACAGCCGTTCACTAATGATTTTCCTCGTGCTGATATTTGCCAGCTGATCGCACCCAACATCTTACATCAGCTCATCAAAGGCACGTTCAAGGACCATCTTGTGGACTGGGTCCATAAGTATCTCCTACAAACACATGGAGCACATGATGCGCAACACATCTTGGATGACATTGATCATAGGTATGTTGATTTTCTATCTCATTTCTAATATCTAATATCTAATTCTGGCTCTACCTTCAATAGAATTGCTAGTGTCGCCCCTTTCGCAGGCCTGAGGCGTTTCCCGCAAGGGCGTGGCTTCAAACAATGGACCGGAGATGACTCAAAAGCACTTATGAAGGTATGTGTCCCATTGCTTTTCACTATGATCTTGCTTGCTAAACCTCGTCAGGTTTATATAGCGGCCATTGAGGGACACGTCCCAGTGGAAATCATACGCACATTCCGTGCGTTTCTTGAATTTTGTTACATTGTACAAAAGAATACTATAACCGAGGGCATGCTGGAGAAACTGCAAGATGCTATTTCCTGTTTCCATCATTATCGCAAGATTTTCCTTGAAACTGACACTGTATCCACATTCTCTCTACCGCGACAACACTCTGTCTCTCATTATTTGCAGCTCATCCGACTCTTTGGCGCTCCAAATGGACTCTGCTCATCCATTACAGAGAGCAAACACATCAAGGCTGTTAAAAATCCATGGAGGCGATCAAGCAAATATAATGCGCTTGGTCAAATGCTTGTCACAAATCAACAGCTCGATAAACTTGCTGCTGCACGAGTCGACTTCACCAGCCGTGGGATGTTGGATGGAACTTGCCTTTCAGCAGCCCTTGATGCCCTTTGTAAGTTCTAAACATATTTTCAGCCACTTGAAAGCTGATTTTTAATCCCATAAGCACAACAAGACGAACCAAGGGATCATGCGCTTACTACTACTAATGATGCAATCTGCAATGCTCACGACGAAGACTTTGACATGTCTGTTCCTGAAGACGACATCAACGGTGTAGATCCTGGCCCAACAGTTCTGCAAGCGCATACACGATTAGTGCGAACTGCACGCAAGTATATTCCCTCATCATTGTGTCAACTGTCTGATTTGGCATGCAGAGACAAAATGTGCATGCACCGTTGTAGAGACTCGTGTGTCTCATGGTGTGATATGGCAGGTTTCACTAGGAAGTATACAGCACAAACTCGCAGCGTCATTCTGTGCGCTACCCACAGCTATCTCTATATGACGCGCAGCTTTCCCACGCAACGCGCGCCATGCGCGCACCATTCCCGCGCTTCGCGATGTATACGCGCGCGCGCGTTCCTGCGCTTGCGCGCCCTATAGCGCCAGCCATTCAGATGCATCCATCCACTGTCCACCAAGCTTCCTAGTACGTATATTTCCATTTCCTTTATTAGCATAGTTCCACCTTTATTTTTATCATAGTTTCTCACTCATATATATCCTTACATACCTACTCGGTAGCGCTTCGGCTCCGCATGACCGCGCTTAGGCGCGCTATATAAGCGCCAGCAGTACATACTATTACTTAGCTACTTTTCCTACTTTTCACTTACTAGTTACTACCCACTTACTACTTAGCAGAATATAGTAGAAAGCTATTCCTTTACATTTTGCACTCTTATATCTCTTATCTTGCTTTATATCACTACTTAAGCTTAGTTTCTCATTTCCGCATACGCGCGCGCGCTTTCCCGCGCTTCGCGCTAATACGCGCGCGTGTTCCCGCGCCTTTGTACCTTGCGCACACCTGCGCTTTCTCGCGCTTCGCTTAAGCGCACACTTCTAGATCCTTGCTGCACTCACTTCCCCTATAGGGTCGAACGCACTTGCTTCTCAAGTAACGCAGACTAGGCAGCGCGCGACCTTACAACTTTTACGGATACAGTCAGGAGCTTCTTTTGTTCCTCATTGTATTGTTGTTTCTACACCGTGCTCGCTCTCACTGAAGAGTTGGATATCCCTCGTCTACCTGAGATGGTCTGCCGCTTTCTCTTCCAGCAGACACGTCCAGATGATCCACGAGATGTGTCGGAAATTCCTATTGCAGGATGCCCTTGATATGAGGGCAAAATATCAGTATTCAACTCTGCGTGCTCACAGTTCTATGCCCCGAGTGATATAAGTGGGATCGGTGGGATGCGGATTGAGCACATTCGTGCTTGTCCCATGTGGCGGAACGAGGCCCCTCGTTATGACTGTGCTTTCGTCAATATTGGGTCAGAAGATGTGGGCATTCGAGGACTCGAAGTCGCGAGGATTCATGCATTCTTCTCATTCATTTATGGAGGAAAGACTTACCTGTGTGCCGTCATGCGCTGGTTTAATATCATTGGAGACTTGCCTGATGAAGATACTGGCATGTGGATGGTCCATCCGGCCTGCGGTACCAACAATGCACCTCTCTACAACATTATACATGTCGATTCAATCTATCGTGTGGCTCACCTCATTCCCATTTATGGCAGACATTTTCTCCGCCATGATATTAATCTACATAATTCATATGACAGTTTTCGAACATTTTATGTCAATAAATACGCTGATCATCATGCTTTTGAGCTCGCATCATAGACATTCGCACTTATCTTTTTCACTTTAATACAATTGATCACATTTTTGAGCCTTATCATCTTTGTTCCCTTGGATGACTTGAAACAGCTTAAGCTAGGTACTCTTGGACTGACTTGTTGTGCCTTGGTGCGCATTTGCGAAGTTGCCTGAAAAGTAAAGCTCAAATAAGCCGCTAAAAGTCAAATAAGGAATTTTGGATTTTGCTGATGTCACGCAAGTACATAGTCACATTAGAGTTACTCACACCTCAGTCCGCTACACTACGAGTATGCGACTGAGGTAAGACATTCATTACTATAGTTCATTCCTTTACTAACTTCACTAGTATACACTCGTTTTATCTAGGTTAGTATTAGTCCGCTACACTACGAGTACGCGACTGGGTATACACTCGTTTTATCTAGCCTTCCGTTTGTTCCCGCACGTCGCAACTTCAAACAAAAGGTTATGAGCCCTGCTTCATATTCAAGCACACAAATAGCCTAGTAGTGACAACTTCCTACCCTCTACACAATGTCCAACAATCCGTCAATCTCACAAGCCCAACATTCACAAACACAACTCACTGCCTTGTCAGCATCTAGTTCGAAGAAAGTAATTCAAGCTTCAACACCTGTTCATGGCAGGGTGATACTTAACCATGTCTAATTATACACAGTACATTTTGTAAGTTTGTTTGTAAACTATCAATCCCCTACAATTAAGCTTAACGGCTTCTGATTCCTTTGGTGATTCTCAGGCTTCCAAGAATAGTGCTACCACCGGAAAAATTACCAAATTGGGATATTCCAATAATCTCACTATTCCCACATACCTCCCTGGCTCTACTGCTGCACCAGAGCTTTCCCCTCGCTCACTCATGTATATAAGTAGTAGAATGGCATGTACATACATAAAATGATACAATAGACCGCTTTTTTCATTGTCTGAGAGCTTGTACAGCAGTCTACAGTGCTGACTACAATATGTGCATCCCAGGACTAAAACATATTCGCTTTTTTGCCCCTTTAGCAGGGAAGCAATTCTGGCTGTATATATCATATATTAGAGTGTTAATGAATATATTACACTGCTTGTTTGAGTCTCTGTAGTGTCCTACATCAGTAGATATGTTAAATTCATGAATACCTCTCAAAAAACATAAACCAGTTCGCATTTTTTAGTGTTTAGGTATATAGACTGGTGAATATTATTTCTAACATCTCTTTACTAGTATATACATCATATCAAGAGTATAGGTCATTAGGATCAGTCCCTAGGGTGATATGTATTGTCATCTTCCTGGTGGTTCACTCCCTAAGAAAATTTTTCCTGCAGCTCCAGCCCTCTAGGATGGTAGGTAGTCTTTTACTATGAACATATGGAATATATTTATCACATAGATATACCAGAACAATACCAGGATCCTTGTCTACAATCCAAAGTCACTTCCTGCCTACAATGTACCATATTTTCGCATTTTTGAGGTTTTTCACTACATTCTCACTACATAGACTATACCAGCTGTTCATATATCACTTATAGTACATATATGAAGCCCTCCCAAGGCCATGATCATGCAGAAATATGTCAGAGTAATGATATCAAGCACATATCTCCTATTCTCACTGATAAGAATTCCCAGACATGAATATAGTAAAATATTATAATCAGACTATCTTAGAGTACACTATATATACCAAGTAATACAGTCCTCGACTACCAGAAGGATCCATGAATAATTGACAGCAGGGGAATCCAATAGATAAGAAATAGGTTGTGGGAAAGTCAAAAAGTCCAAACATCGAAAAGTACTATGCACCAACAGTCTATGCAAGGGTGGTCTGACCATAATAATGCAACACATTAAGACCACAACACTTCCACATCACCTTTACCTTCACAACATATATTAGTATAGTATATATCAGTAGTTTACGATGTATTCTATACATTTTTAATGAATTATTCGCCCTAGACAGGGTTGAAATATAACATTTACATGATTGTGGAGTTTGCCCCTATATCATTGATATCATTACTCTGACATATTTCTGCATGATCATGGCCTTGGGAGGGCTTCATATATGTACTATAAGTGATATATGAACAGCTGGTATAGTCTATGTAGTGAGAATGTAGTGAAAAACCTCAAAAATGCGAAAATATGGTACATTGTAGGCAGGAAGTGACTTTGGATTGTAGACAAGGATCCTGGTATTGTTCTGGTATATCTATGTGATAAATATATTCCATATGTTCATAGTAAAAGACTACCTACCATCCTAGAGGGCTGGAGCTGCAGGAAAAATTTTCTTAGGGAGTGAACCACCAGGAAGATGACAATACATATCACCCTAGGGACTGATCCTAATGACCTATACTCTTGATATGATGTATATACTAGTAAAGAGATGTTAGAAATAATATTCACCAGTCTATATACCTAAACACTAAAAAATGCGAACTGGTTTATGTTTTTTGAGAGGTATTCATGAATTTAACATATCTACTGATGTAGGACACTACAGAGACTCAAACAAGCAGTGTAATATATTCATTAACACTCTAATATATGATATATACAGCCAGAATTGCTTCCCTGCTAAAGGGGCAAAAAAGCGAATATGTTTTAGTCCTGGGATGCACATATTGTAGTCAGCACTGTAGACTGCTGTACAAGCTCTCAGACAATGAAAAAAGCGGTCTATTGTATCATTTTATGTATGTACATGCCATTCTACTACTTATATACATGAGTGAGCGAGGGGAAAGCTCTGGTGCAGCAGTAGAGCCAGGGAGGTATGTGGGAATAGTGAGATTATTGGAATATCCCAATTTGGTAATTTTTCCGGTGGTAGCACTATTCTTGGAAGCCTGAGAATCACCAAAGGAATCAGAAGCCGTTAAGCTTAATTGTAGGGGATTGATAGTTTACAAACAAACTTACAAAACCATATCATTTCTAGTCAGTGAGTATTATGCTTAATTTTAACAGTATAGCCTGGCTTCAAATCGACTCTATGACATTCCGTCACTAGAGAATGATGGCTCTAACTTTCAGAATTGGAAGTTTCAAGTGAAGAAAGTACTCACAGTGAGGAGACTTTGGGAGTTAGTCACTGGAGTGGAGGTGCAGCCCCCTGCCACAGACCCAGATGCACTAAATGAATGGTTAGAGAAAAATGAGGAAGCACATGCACAGATCACACTCATGCTGAAGGAAGAACCGCTAAATGGAGTCTTACACACAACATTGGCATCTGATGCCTGGACAAAATTGTGCAAATGATATGAGGGGAAGGGCAAACAAAGCATAGCCTACCTGATAGGTGAATTGTTTCGAGGAACTCTGTCAGATGAGTCACCCCTAGAACCCCAGCTCAATTCAATGCGACAGAAGGCACAAGTACTGAACTCACTCGGCCAAGCTCTCAAAGACTCTCTAGTAGCCATTGCTATGGTCATATCACTTCCTCCTTCCTACTCAACTCTCCGAACAATTCTCATGTCAACGAGCGACAAGATCACAATCAAAGGTACTATCAGCCAGATCCTGGTCAAGGAGAAGTCGCGTCGAGGTCCAGATTCTCAAACAGCTCTTGTAGCCAAGACCTCAGACAGGTTGAAAGAGAGTTCGAAAACTGATCAGAAGAAGAAACCTGGCAACTGCAACTATTGCAAGAAGCCAGGCCACTGGGAGAGAGATTGTCGCAAGAAACAGGCTGAAAAGGCTAAAGGACCCAGCAAAGCCAAGGATGACGAACAAGATAAGCCAAAGACAGAGTTATCAGCAAAAGTAGCAGCTGTAGCTGAAGAAGACATACCAGCATTGCAACTATTTGTTGCACATGACTCTAAAGACAAACCTAACTCTGTGGAATGGATTGTCGATTCTGGTGCTTCAGCAAGTATGTCGTGCTGCTGAGATTGGTTCAGGACATTTTGTCCAATAGTCCCAGCGCAGCGAGTCGTCATTGGAGACGGAAGGTCCATCAAAGCTACAGGACTTGGTAGCATTGAGCTTGAGATCGAAGTTGGAAAAGGGAACATGCGCCGAACCATACTGCAGGAGGTGTATTATGTCCCTGCTCTAGATGGAAACTTGTTGTCAGTGCCACAGCTGACAAGCAAAGGCTTTGAAGCAAGCTTTGACCAACGTACCTGCACAATCACTCGAAACGGGTCCATAGTGGCACTAGCGACATGGCAACAGTCCTTATACATATTGAGAGGATGGACTTGCAGCAGCGAGAGAGCCTATATCATTCAAGGTCCAAGTCAGCTATTAGACGCCATAGAACCGATTAGAGCACTCACAGCCTGCTTGTACTCATCGAAGGCATCCATGGAGACTTGGCATCATCGACTCGCACATACCAATCTAAATTCTGTGAAGAAGCTATATGGGAAGGATATGGTTAGAGGCATGGAAGTTTCAGGGTCAACAGCTCACGAAACAGATGTATGCAAGGCCTGCCTTGAAGGGAAACAATCCTGCAAACCTATCCCAGACGAGTCCCAAGTCGAGAATCCTCGTATTCTGCACAGAACATATTCAGACATATGCGGACCCATGGAAATGACCTCCCGAGGTGGATACTGGTACTTCATGACATTCATTGATGCCTGCTCACACCATCTAGTTGTCAAGTTACTAAAGACAAAAGATGAAGTGTTTGGACTTATGAAATTGTACTTTGAACGAGCAGAGACCGAAACAGGCAAACATGCAAACATATTCTGTAGCGATGGTGGTGGAGAATATGGCTCGAAGGAATTTCTAAAATATCTAGAGTCAAAAGGGATCCATCATGAGAAGACAAACACCTACACACCTCAGGAAAATGGAGTCGCCGAACAAATGAACAGGACACTAGTCAAGTCCGCACATGCATTGCTCAGTGATGCCTCCCTCCAAAAGAAGTATTGGGGAGATGCAATTCTACATGTAGCCCACATCATCAATCGGGTCCCCACATGTGCATTGAAAAGGGATATCACACCTTTTGAAGCATATA